CACATGTTGTGGGAGGGACCCCAGGAGAGGTATTTGAATCATGAGAGCTGGGCTTCTCCTTATGATAGTGAATATGTCTCATGAGATCTGATGGGTTTATCAGGGGTTTCTGCTTTTGCTTCTTCCTCATTGTCTCTTGCTGCCACCATGTAAGAAGTGCCTTTCACCTCCCACCATGATTCTGAGGCCTCCCTGGCCATATGGAACTTAAGTCCAATTAAACCTCTTTTTCTTCCCAGTCTTGGGTATGTCTTTATCAGCAGCATGAAACGGACTAATATAGGCTTCATGGAACAATGACAGGCAAGAGTATTTTCAAAGGCATGTAGAAACACTGATTCAATACAACCTGCAATGAAATCCGCTAAGATGTATTAGAGCTGACAGTGATAAAAATATGTGTGGAATAGAAAAAGGCTGAGCTGAACAAATTTGCAAAGATGGTGAGAAAATAGTGTTTAAAGCCAGTAAGTGTTCTTCATATTACTCAACAGCAGCTACTCCATGAAAGTATTTGAATTTATCATGTGTTATTGAGCCAGTGGTGTCAACAGTGACCTTCATTCACTCTTGTAAACTAGAACTTTTCTGACAAAAGTTCACAGAACATAAGCTGAATATATCCTGCTGTCCTGCCACACAACAATTCCATGACTTAACAGTTATGAATTTTTTAGCTCAGGGCCAAGATTTAACTTTTTATTGTATAAATTGAAGGTGCACATAATGTTTTGATATTACATAGTGAATGTTAGCACAGGTAAGAAATTTCAATATCCATCATCTTAGACAGTTACTTTTTTATGGTAAGAGCACCTAAAATCTACTGTCTTAAAAGATTTCCAGTACACAATACAATCTTAATGGCTATGGTCCTCATTCTATGCTTTAGATCTCTATATTTATTCATCCTACATAATTGCAATTTTGTACCTTTTGACGTACATCTCCTCATTCTTCTCCTTCCAGGCCTACCCCAACTCCACCTCTTGGGAACCACTATTCTATTCTCTGTTTTTATATATTCAACTTTATTTTTTTTTAGATTTCCACATAGACAGCATGTGCTCTGCCCCTACATTTCCCTTCCACACTGCCCTAGCAGAGGTTCTCCATGAAGGCCCTGACCCTGCAGCAAACTTTTGCTTGGGCATCCAGGTGTTTCCATACATTTGAAATCCAGGCAGAGGTTCCCAAACCTCAATTCTTGACTTCTGTGTACCCAGAGGCTCAACACCATGTGGAAGCTGCCAAGGCTTGGGGCTTCCACCCTCTGAAGTCACAGCCCAAGCTGTACATTGACCCCTTTCAACCATGGCTGAAGTGGCTTGGACACAGGGCACCAAGTACCTAGGCTGAACACAGTATGGAACTCTGTGCCCAGCCCACGAAACCACTTTTTCTTCCTGGGCCTCCAGGCCTGTGATGGGAGGGGCTATTCTGAAGGTCTCTGATATGGCCTGAAGACATTTTCCCCATGGTCTTGGGGATTAACATTAAGCTCCTTGTTACTTACACAAATTCCTGTGGCTGGCTTGAATTTCTCCTCAAAAAATGTATTTTTCTTTTTTTACTTCATCATCAGGCTGCAAATTTTCTGAACTTTTATGCTTTATTTCCCTTTTAAAATGAAATGCTTTTAATAGAACCCAAGTCACCTCTTGAATGCTTTTCTGCTTAGGAATTTCTTCTCTCAGATACCCTAAATAATTTCTCTCAAGTTCAAAGTTCCACAGATCTCTAGGGCAGGAAATGCTACCAGTCTGTTTGCTAAAATATAACAAGTCACCTTTGCTCCAGTTCCCAAAAAGTTTCTCATCTCCATCTGAGACCACCTCAGCCTGAACCTTATTGTTCATATCACTATCAGCATTTTTGTCAAAGCCATTCAACAAATCTCTAGGAGGTTCCAAACTTTCCCACATTTTCTTGTCTTCTTCTGAACCCTCTAAATGGTTCCAACTTCTGCCTGTTACCCAGTTCCAAAGTTGCTTTCACATTTTCAGTTATCTTTGCAGCAACATTCCACTCTACTGGTACCAATTTACTGTATTAGTCCGTTTTCATGCTGCTGATAAAGACATACACAAGACTGGGAAGAAAAAGAGGTTTAATTGGACTTACAGTTCCACATGGCTGGGAGGTCTCAGAATCATGTTGGGAGGCAGAAGACACTTCTTACATGGTGGTAGCAAGAGAAAATGAGGAAGAAGCAAAAGCAGAAACCCCTGATAAATCCATCGGATCTCATGAGACTTAATCACTATCACAAGAATAGCAAGGGGAAGACCGGCCCCATGATTCGATTACCTCATCCTGGATCCCTCCCACAACACATGGGAATTCTGGGGGATACAATTCAAGTTGAGATTTGAATGGGAACACAGCCAAACTGTATCAACGACTATTCATAGAGGTTTGGTTTTTCAATCACTTCAAACTCAACATTGACCCTTTCCATAAACAACAACTGAGCAGTGTGGAGAACATCTGTCTACTTATCAGGAGCCAAGAAAAGCCACTCAGAATCTTGTGCCTTGTCTTTAGTTGACTATTGATGTTGCTCCCAGTGTCAACTCTGAGCAGCTGTTCTTACCAAAAGGCTAAAATCTTAGAGAAATGTATTTTTTCCTGGACACATTTTTTTGGCCACTGAAAAATGTTTTAATTTACTCACCATTGGTGAATATCTTTCCTTGTTTGCATAAAAAATGAGCCACTTGGAACCTTACTTTTGTTGCAGACTTATTTTCATTTTTAATTTTTGTAAAGAAATTCTGCTATAATAATCTATTTATTTATTTAGTGACAGAGTCTTGCTCTGTCACCCAGGCTGGAGTGCAGTGGCATGATCTTCGCTCACTGCAACTTCTGCTTCCCCAAGCGATTCTCTTGCCTCAGCCTCCCAAGTGGCTGAGACTACAGGTACCTGCCAACAAGCCCAGCTAATTTTTTTTTGTATTTTGTAGGGACAGGGTTTCACCATGTTGGCCAGGCTGGTCTTGAACTCCTGACCTCAGGTGATCCACCTGCAGGCCTCCCAAGGTGCTAGGATTACAGGCATGAGCCACCATGCTCGACCAATTCTGTTTTAAATTTTCTAATTTTTCTGATATTTGTGCTCAGTGAGCTGGGACTATTGTGATGAGTGTTTAGTCTAGTAATCTTGATATTTATTATTCTTTTAGTACAGTGACACTACATAATAAGAAACATATTTTGCCTTATAATTCGATGACAACATAATACACACTCTAGTGTGCCTTAGAAGTGCGGCATTCAAAGTTCACTTGTGTTCTTTTCCTTTCTCAAAATTTTGTTTAGAGATGGGGATCTCACTGTGTTGCCCAGGCTGGTCTTGAACTCCTGGCTTCAAAATCCTCCTGCTTCACTCCTGAGTAGCAGGATTACAGGAATGAACCACCCATGCCTGGCTTTCTTGTTTTGACATAATGGATATAATTTTTAAAAATGTCACAGTATAGTGATACCATGGCACTCCAAACACTGTTATTACAATGATGTTACGTGGTTTGTAGTGTGCTGAGCAGCCAGGCACAGTGGTGAGTGCACCACATGTGGTCTCTGTTACAATTACTGCAGTCTGCTGTGGCAGCACAAAAGCGTTAATAGACAATATGTAAGCAAATGAGCATGGCTATGTTTCAATAAAGCTTTATTTAAGGATGCTGAAATTTAAATTTCATACAGTTTTCTTATGTCATGAAATATTGTTTCTTTTAAAGTTTTTCCATTTAAAAGTGTAAAAGCTATTCATAGTTTGTAGGCTGTAAAAAACAAGGGTTGGGCTGGCTTTGGCCCATAGGCTTTATTGCTGAACTCTATTCTAGTGTCAAAGATATGCTGAGTTGGGACCAAATATATCGTTGGTTATTTATGATTTCAGATGATACTCTTTTTTCTGATACTTCTGGCTGGACTACAATGGCACAGTCTTGGCTCACTGCACCCTCCGCCTCCTGGGTTCAAGCGATTCTCCTGCCTCAGCCTCTGGAGTAGCTGAGGTTACAGGCATGTGCCACCATGCCTGGCTACTTTTTGTATTTTCTTTTTCTTTTTTGAGATGGAGTCTGGCTCTGTCACCAGGCTGGAGCACAGTGGCGCAGTCTCGGCTCACTGCAACCTCTGCCTCACGCGTTCAAGCCATTCTTCTGCCTCAGCCTCCCAAGTAGCTGGGACTACAGGCACATGCCACACACCTGGCTAATTTTAGTAGTTTTAGTAGAGACGAGGTTACACCATGTTGGCCAGGATGGTCTCGGTCTCTTGACCTCATGATCCACCTGCCTCAGCCGCCCAAAGTGCTGGGATAACAGGCATGAGCCATCAGATGATATTCTTAAGAATTTCTCGGCCAGGCGCGGTGGCTCACGCCTGTAATCCCAGCACTTTGGGAGGCCGAGGCGGGTGGATCATGGGGTCAAGAGATCGAGACCATCCTGGTCAACATGGTGAAACCCTGTCTCTACTAAAAATACAAAAAATTAGCTGGGCATGGTGGCGTGTGCCTGTAATCCCAGCTACTCAGGAGGCTGAGGCAGGAGAATTGCCTGAACCCAGGAGGCGGAGGTTGCAGTGAGCCGAGATCGTGCCATTGCACTCCAGCCTGGGTAACGAGCGAAACTCCGTCTCAAAAAAAAAAAAAGAATTTCTCACCCACTCTTCCACAACCAACGTGTAGTTATTTGAAGACCAATCTATCCTTAAAGAAATTTATCTGGAAAATGAGTGGGATCTCATTTGTTACTTTAAGAAGAAATGAGAAAATGATTTTGTACAAATTGTACTTTCTATAATTTGCAATTAAGGAAGATTAAAATCTTTTAAAAAATTTTTATGCTTCAGAAAACATTTGTAGAAGCTAAAGTATTAATTGGATATTACCATTTATTATAAGTTTCTGAAATGAAGGTGGGTATAAACTTAATTATCTTTCAATTAATCTAACTGAAATATGACATGTATTTCTGAATATTCAGCAACAGCTGGCATTGCAGCTGGAGTTGGAAATGCAAGAAAAAGAGAGGCAGAGAATAGAAGAACTACAGAGAGCTCAAGAACAATTAGAAAAGGTAATTTGAAGCTTTACAAATGTCAGTTTTAATAAAACCCTTTAGAATCTTCAGACTGTTTCTTTCAGAAGGACCATGGGATTTGTAGTCTGAAGACATGCCACATACTAGCTGTGTAAGCTAAACAAGTCTCATAACCTTTTTCAGTCTCTTTACCTGTTCCAAAGCTAGACCTAGCAGTATAATACTATTAGCAATGTCTCACTGGATTCGTATACAATCAAATACAATCTTTGTGAAACTTCTCTGTGAGCAGTAGAGTTCTCTAGTAGTGATAAACTCAACATTTTAGTCAAGTGCTAGCTATTCCTAGTTATAGTAGCTGATGTTGAATATTGAGGGTATTCTGATCTTGGAGGCAGTAGTGTATGTCTTTATGTTAATGTATTAAAAACAAGAATTTGCATTTTAAAATATGTTCATACATGGACTTTCATGCCTTTTATTAAAATAAACTATACAGTAACTTCTTTCTCTCTCTCTCTTTTTTTTTGACACAGTCTCTCTGTTGCCCAGGCTGGAGTGCAGTGGCACAGTCTCACTGCAACCTCCAGCTCCCAGGTTCAAGTGATTCTTGTGCCTCAGCCTCCCGAGCAGCTGGGATTACAGGCATGGACCACCACACCTGGTCTGGCTAAGTTTTTGTATTTTTAGTAGAGACAGAGTTTTGCCACATCCAGGTTGATCTCGAACTCCTAAGCTCAGGCAATCTGCCTGCCTTGTCCTCCCAAAGTGTTAGGATTACGGGCATAAGCCACTGCACCCAACCTGCAGTAACTTATTTCAAAAAAGCCCATTATTCCTTGGTTGTGTCTGCATCATGTTAGGTCTCTAGTTTGACCCATATTTCCTGCATCCAAAAGATATTTGTCATATAGATCAATATTTTAGATAACCAAGTTTATAGCTACTATCTCTTAATCAAATATTGCTCCCCCTTTTTATTCCATAATTAAAATTGAAAAAAGAAGCAGGCTTTATAGAATGTGTTCATTGTTTATTAATGCTTAGATGAGAGAATCATTTATTAAAGCTATATTTTCAAAATATGAATAGTAAATTAAATTAAAAGTGAGATTTTTTTAAAGGATGAAAGTCCTATACATAGTTTAAAAAAGTACAGATGCTGATGCTGTCTTAGGCTGAGTGTAGTATGAGCACAGGGATATACCTGTATGCACACATACACAAGCATCCGTTTCTCGTTAAGATTCACAAAGTAACAATGTTTAAGGTGATGGATATCTCAATTACCCTGATTTGATCATTACACATTGTTTGCTTGTATCAAAATATCATATATACATCATAAACATATACAACTGTTATATACTGCTAAAAATTTTAAGAATTTTTGAAAAAGATTCACAGATCTAAACTGAAAGAGAAAATGCAGTAACATATCAAGAAGACAGTGATCAAAATAAAGGAATTTAAAGTATTTTTTAATCAAAGTAACCTGATAGCTACATTAAGGTGCTTGAAAGTCTATAGTAAGGATTGGTCTCTGTTTCGTGGCTCCAGAGGGCCACACTCATGTTATTTTACTATCTCCAGGCATTGTCAGCTTGCGTGACCAGAGCCACAATAACTTTAATAATTCATATTCCTACTGGCTTATCATCTCTCACCATAGTATAGGTACTCCCCTGCAAAGTACTGTTCCCTTGCCCATTGCTCAGAAATGAATCCATTCATGTCTTTCCCCTGGCCTTATGGCTGCAGACTCGCAATGTAAACTGTCATGTGCACAGGGAAATTTGCTGGAAGGATTCTTGGTTTAAGGGTTTAGCACCTAAACTGTGAAGGACTCTGATGTCACTGGGCCTTTCAGACTTAGGGAGCAAGAGAATCAGATGCTACCAGGGCTCTCACTTCTGCTATTCCCTGGTTAGTTTCATTCTTTCTCTATGGGCTGCTGTGCTGCACATGGGTGGGGAATATGGCCCTTAATGGCTTCTGAGTCTTAGAATGTTGTGGCTTCTAACCATCTAAGAGGAATGGATTCCTTCTTTTAGTTTCAATTAAGAAAAGAATCTTGGAGAAGGATTCTGACTGGCTTAATTTGTGTCAGATATCCATCCCTGTGGCAGGGGAACATGGTCCTATAAGAATATGAATGTCCCTAGTATAGCCTTGTGGATGCTGGATAAGAAGTTACCAGGAAAGGGCCGGCCGTGGTGGCTCAAGCCTGTAATCCCAGCACTTTGGGAGGCCATGGCGGGTGGATCATGAGGTCAAGAGATCGAGACCATCCTGGTCAACATGGTGAAACCCTGTCTCTACTAAAAATACAAAAAATTAGCTGGGCATGGTGGCGTGTGCCTGTAATCCCAGCTACTCAGGAGGCTGAGGCAGGAGAATTGCCTGAACCCAGGAGGCGGAGGTTGCAGTGAGCCGAGATCGCACCATTGCACTCCAGCCTGGGTAACTAGAGTGAAACTCTGTCTCAAAAAAAAAAAAAAAAAAAAAAGAAGTTACCAGGAAAATGGAGTGATCTTGGGAAAATAGTGCCATTTATGTCCCTATCATTAGGGTAACCATAAAGAAATCACTCATCTTCTAGCAGCCAAAATGAATCAACTCAGGGGCAGTTAGGCCACCCTGCTGCTTGAGAATGAAAAGATGGGTGCCATAGCAAGGTTTGGCAGGCTAGAAGAATGTTTTCACATTCAGAAAGAGGCCTCCCATGTTGGGCAGTACATTCCCACTGCAGTGCTGTTTATTAAAGAGGGCATTACTTAACTGCTGTGGGAGGACTTGTGCATTGGGCCAGATAATTCCTTTAGAATGTTTACTTCTTTCTCATTGTGTGCAAAACTCTACTTAAGTTAATTTCTCTTTAAGATCTCTTGTTCTAAGATTTTATTAGTATTTTTATTTTGTCACTTTCCATATTGGTAGATAATTTGACTTCAGTTTGAATGTTTCAGTCCATTTCATTTTCTAAAAAGTTTTATTTAATTATGTATAAAACATAGTGGCCTTCTGTTGGTATAGAGTATTTAATAAGATCGTGATCTGCAGTTTTGTAATGCGTAATCAGATCAGTCTCTTTCAGAGTGACAGCGTTTTTGCTTTAAATTGATTAAAAACATTGTGTAAAAATAAAAATGCCAAAAATTAAACATGAAATCAAAATTAAGTATATTCAAAGTATTTTCATAATTTTTATATATTATAGGAGATGAGAATGAATATAGAAAATTTAGTTAGGAGTGAAGATACTCTACGTTCGGAGGTGAGAAGAAAAAGTCACTCTATGTTATGTGAATTGAATTGAGTATCCTAGAATGTAAAGCTTAATTTCGATGTACAAGTAGCTAAATTTTTAGCAAGTGTATAAAACTGAGAGGCCATATATATTTTCCAGTAATAGCAAGTCACAAATAATGTGCTTTGAAGCAAAATGTCACTGTGGGTAAAAATTGGACATTCAGTTTGTGTTTGCAGTTTAAAAACTATCTGTTTTAAAAACTATCTATCCTGAGATATTGAAACTACTGACCACATAATTACTTATAATTATTTTAAATTTCTGCCGGTATTTTTAAAATAAGTTTTATCAGTTATTACCAAAATTCTCTTGCCATTAACAGAAATTGGTTAATTCCATTAATTAATAATGTTGAATTTTGATGTTATAATCAGAAGTTTTAAAATCATAATTGAAAGAAAAGTAATGTATTAATTTTGAAATCATTTAAATGTAAACATGAATTTTATGATTGTAGGAAGCAACACTAGACTCAGGCAAAACACTAGCTGAAACCAGTGGTCGTTTTGGAGCACCTAACTTGAGCAGAGTGGAAGAACTTGATGAGCCAATGTTTTCTGATGTCAGTATCAGCCTGCTTTTCAAAAACTCTTTTTCGTTTTTTTGTTTTTTCACTTAGGTAATAAAGCCTAGGGAAAACAAGGCTAGGCTAGGATTGGTTGGCAAATGGTCCTTTTGCTTCAGAGAAAGAAAACCAGTTCCCTGGTGGCCAATTACATTCCTAATTGGCATTCTGCCCTTTTGTGAAGTGTGTCACTGGTCTATCTATATCTCTCTATTTGTAGCTGTGACCTCAAAACCTCTTCAAAATATTTTTTAAAATTATTTTGTGAAATACATAATCTTTAAACTTGGTGTGGGGGGCACCATTTTGGTTCTCAGTAGCAAACCCTGGAACCAAATGAATGTCCTAATGAGAGTGCATGTTTCTCCAGTATGTAAGTACATTTGTTTATTTAACAAACATACCATGTCTTCCATATGTCGGGCACTGGGCCTGATGCTGTGGTGAATAAAGCAGATGGCTCTGACCTTGTGGAGTTTACTGTCAGGGGGAGAAACAGACAATTAGATGAGCATTTAAAAGCCATCGTTACTGGGACCACGTAATTCATTGTCCAAGTTAGTATGCTGGTAATTTATTGTCCAAACCAGAATGATGGTCGTATCAGCACATGTAAGCCAGGACTGTCCTGGCAGAAGGGTACAACTGGTCACTTTAATTGGTGTACACTGAGAATGGGGGGACAGCCAGTACAGTTGAGGAACCTCAGTCAGGGAAGGAAACTAATGATTTGCTACTCAGTGGTGGCGTGGGAAGCTGAGGACACTGCTCTGAGCAGAGAACACAGAAAGTGTGAAGAAGACCCAGCTAGGAGACAGTGTAGAGAGAGTGAGCAGGAAAGGGTGAGAGATGAGGCCAGGGAGAAAGCAGGGGCCAGACCATGAAAGCACTTGTCATTTCTGCTCAGAGGCTTAGATTTTATCCTGAAGGCAGTGAAGGCTCATATAATGAGAACTGCATTTTGTAAAGAGCATCTGGCAACAATATGGGTAAGAAAATGGAGAAGTAGGTGGCAGGAGATGGCTTAGGAGGTTGTAATCTACAAGTTGTTGATGGCCTGAAATAAATGTTATTTTTGAGAGCTGTTCAGAAAGTGGAGCTGCACAGACTCAGTGCTAATTGTTTAAAGTTTTATTAAATGTCAGCTATGATTTGGCACTACGTAGGAAGCTGGAAAATGCCAATGAATGAAAAGGACCGGGCTTCTGCCCTTTGGGGACCATGGGCCAATGGGAAAAGTTCTTTGAGGGACAGAGTAGGAAGAGACCTGATCTGGGCTGGACAAGTCTTCCTGAGGAGGTGAAGTTGAAGAAATTAGCCTGAGATAAGCCCAGAAGAAAGAGACAGCAAGATGCTTTCAAGGGACTGAAGTCGTCCAGCTAAGGTGTATGGAGCTGGGAAAATGGTGTGATTTTAAGCTGGAGAGGTGGATAAAGGCCAGAGCACACAGGGTCCTGTATGTTATCTTAGGGATTTTGGACTTACATGCAGTGGGAGTTATTGAAAGGACTTAAAGCTTCAATGTGTGTTTTTATAAGGTGGAGAGAGGATTGGAGTGGAGCAGGAGTGGAAAAAAGGAGACCACTTTGGAAGTTGTTGCACTGATCCAGATGTAAGATGATTAGGGTTAGACAGCAGAGATGGAGGGGACTGAGTGAATTTGAGATTGGCTCTCAGGATCAGTGCGGGAGCGGGGTCAGGATGAAGCCTAAATGTCTTCCTTGGGCAACCGAGTTAAGAGTGTTACCACCTGATGAGTTGATGAACATAAGAGAAATCAGGTTTTTTTAAAATGATGGCTTTGGTTGCAGAGATGTTGATTTTCAGGTGGCTCTGAGATATGCAGGTGAAAATAGCCAAAGAACAGTTGATGTTAGGAAAGGGGCCCAGGCCGGAGATGTAAATTCAGCAGTCATGGGCATATGTGCTGAACGAAGCAAGGGGAATGAGGAAGGTACTAGGAGAGCGTGCAGTGTGTGAAGGCCTGCGGGCTCAGGGAGGAACCATTAGCAATTTCAACACTTAAGGGATGGCTACAGGAAGTAGACCCTACAAGAAGGATGAGAACGCATGGTAAGAAGTACAAGAGATGATGGGACAGTAACTACCCTGAGAACATAATCTATGGTTATATTCTATTTGAATATCATTTGAAATCATCTGAAACTCCCCAAAAGCTTCATTCATGTGACTGCTTAGTCACATATAAGTTACCTAAACTTTATTTCCTTGGCTTGTGCCTTTTCACAGTTCTAATTGTATTGAAGCATACTTACTTTTTTGTTTTGCTTTCAGGTTGCATTAAACATGGATCAAGATTTGTAAGATCAACCAACCTAAGAGCAATAAATGCTTTTGTTGGTTTCAAATTTCAAATCATGAGGTTCCCAATTTGTATTTCTTTTTCCTTCAAACTTGAACTCTACTTTTTTTTTTCCTCTGAGGACAGCTTATGAATGAGCTTCAAGAGTAGCCTCAAAGTGCTATTTTAGATCTGTCAATTCAACTGGTTATTTATATGATTCCATTGGAAAAAAAGGAGAGTTTGCTGAAGCAACCAAATGAGGCAAATGTGAGGTGAGCTGAAATAACATGTGCATCTATGCAAAAGCAAGACTGCCTGAAAAGAAAGTTGCTGTCCGGGCTCAGTGGCTCACGCCTGTAATCCCTCTCAGCACTTTCGGAGGCCGAGGCAGCTGGATCACTTGAGGTCAGGAGTTTGAGACCAACCTGGCCAACATGGTGAAACCCCATCTCTACTAAAAATACAAAAGAAAATCAGTCAGGTGTGGTGGTGGGCATCTGTAATTCCAGCTACTCAGGAGGCTGATGCAGGAGAATTGCTTGAACCCAGGAGGCAGAGGTTGCAGTGAGCTGAGATCATGCCACTGCACTACAGCCTGGGCAGCAGAGTGAGACTTCCATCTTAAGAAAAAAAAAAAGAAAGTTGCTGGTCTGGGAGAAGTGAGTGAGGCTGCCACTGTGCAGGGCTCAGGAGGGTGTGCAACATGCTCTAGATATGACATCTCCTCCTGGGAGTGAACTGCAGAGCTCTCCCCAGTTTGCTGGGAGCTGATGTTTCATAAAACCACTTATCAGCCACACTTATATGATAGGGTTGGGATGGGGGAAGGAGTGTTTCATTACTGTCCTGGTGGGGAGTTTCCTCCAGCTTAGCCTGTTCCTCCACACCCAGGAATAGATATGAGGGACTTCCTCTTCCTCACCTCTCTGCCCAGCTGGGTGTCCAGATTCCTGTCTTTGGGATTTATAAAGTCCAGGGATATTGCAGGATTTGTTCACATACAGTAAATTGAATGGGATGAAACAAAGTTCTGGGGTACAAAGAAGTATCATGTGTGCTGGCTCAATCGGTAAGCTCAAATATTGGGGCAACTGTTGGTAAGAAGATCTGACTGGATACAGGCCACAAACTCCTGGCCCCTTTGATGTTTCAGGTCTATTCTTAGACTCTGGAGAGAACCTTATTTCCTTTACAAAATTCTTCCAAATCTATGATATGAGTCCTTTGTGTTCTTAAGGACATAGGTGTGAAAACACAAATGCCAAGAGAGACTCCTTTAAAAAAAAAATCTATTTTGGCTTATAATGTACTTTTCCTGAGGTAATGAGTACAGAATGCCCTATTTGCTTAAATGATGCTGTGGTTTGAATGTGTCCCCCTCCCTTCCAAAATACAACTGTGTTGAGAGGTGAGACCTTTAAGAGGCGATTAGATCATGAAGGCTCTGCTACCGTACATGGATGAATGCCACTGCCACATAAGTGGGTCAGTTACGGTAAGAGTGGGCTTTTATACAAGTAAGTTTGGCCGCCTCTTGCTTTCTTGCATTCTCTTGCCCTTCCACCTTCAGCCATGGGGTGACACAGCAAGAAGGCCTTCACCAGCTGCAGGGCCCTTGACTTGGACTTCCCAGCCTCCAAAACTGTAAGCAATCAGTGTATTGCCTTTATTACCATTCTGTTATAGAAATACAAAATGGACTAAGACAAATAGGTAGAAATAAAAAGGTAAATTATGTGAAAAATATTGGTTTCATTAAATATGTTATTCTGTCATACCAGTTCTATACATTTTTGAGAAAAAACTTCCAGGTCTCCTGGAGAGATAGATGACTTCTGTGTGAATTCAGTTGCCAGGCACTGTGCCCCCAGCATGGATGCCTACATTCACATCTACCCAGGCAAGAGTATCCAAGGGAAACAAGGAGCAGAGTGTCCTTCCAGGCCCTGGTTCATCCCAAAGGGCACCATCACGGAGGCCTGTGAGTAAAAGACATGCTCAAAGAGTTTTGGGCTCAGCACAGCCTATGACAGTTTCCAGGGGGTGTGGCTTGATGAATGACTTTTTTTTTTAATGTGTTTTTGAATTCAGTTTGCAAGTATTTTCTTGAAGATTTTTGCATCAATATTCATCAGTGATATTGGCCTGTTGTTTTCTTTTCTTGATGTGTCTTTTTCTGGTTTTGGTATCCAGGTAATACTGGCTTAGTAGAATGAGTTTGGAAGTATTCCTTCCTCCTCGATTTTTTAGAATAGTTTGAGTAGGACTGGTATTAGTTCTTCCTTAAATGATTGCTGGAATTCAGCAGTGAAACCTTCGGGTCCTAGGCTTTTCTTTGCTGGGAGACTTTTTATTATGGGTTCAACCTCGTTACCTGTTATTGATCTGTTCAGGTTTTAGATTTCTGCATAGTTCAATCTTGGTAGGTTGCATGTTTCTAGGAATTTATCCATTTCTTCCACATTTTCCAATTTATTGGCATGTAGTTGCTCATAGTAGCCACTAATGATCCTTTGAGATGGCTGATTGCTAACAGCTTGGGATTGTAGCTCCCAGTGAAAGTGCAGAGAATGAGAGGATGCCACACTTTCAGATGAATTTTTGTCGCTCACGGACCAGAAGATTCCCAGCAGAGGAGCCCCACAGGTCACCAGCGTGACTCTTGTGGCCAGCATGGCGGCTCTTGGTGCAGAGTAAACGGGACTGGTTCCCCTTCTGACCGATGTTTGGAGCTCCGGGAAGGCAGAGTCACCTATTACAGACTCAAGAAGAAAGCCAGACGGGAGATTCCCAGGCAGAAGAGCACCATCAGTCTTAATGCCGCTGTTTTGGCCAGCGCAGTGGGTTGCTCAGATTCCGGCACTGGGAATCAATAAATTGGACATCCACTCAGAAACCTAATTAGAAAGGCGGTAATTGTAAAGAGGACAGATGGATAAATTTATAACGAAGGGAAGAAACCAGCCTAAAAAGGCTGAGAATACCCAAAATCAGAACGCCTCTCCCTCTATAGGGGATTATAGTTCCTCATCAGCAACGGAACAAGGCCTGATGGAGAAGGACTGTGTTCCATTAACAGAAGTAGGCTTCAGAAGGTGGATGATAAGAAACTTCTGGGAGTTAAAAGAACTTGTTCTAACCCAATGTAAAGAAAGTAAGAACTTTGAAAAAAGGTTTGACGAAATGCTAACAAGAATAGACAATATAGAGAGGAATATAAATGAATTAATGGAGTTAAAAAACACAAGAACTTCGTGAAATATGCACAAGTTTTAATAGCCCAATTGATCAAGCAGAAGAAAGGATATCAGAGCTCAAAGACCAGCTTAATGAAATAAAACGAGAAGACAAGAATAGAGAAAAAAGGATAAAAAGGAATGAGCAAAGTCTCCAAGAAATATGGGACTATGTGAAAAGAACTAATTTACGTTTGATAGGTGTACCTGAATATGACGAAGAGAATGAATCCAAGCTGGAAAATACTCTTCAGGATATTATTCAGGAAAAATTTCCCAAGCTAGCAAAGCAGGACAATATTCAACTCCAGGTAATACAGAGAACACCACAAAGATATTCCTCAAGAAGAGCAACTCCAAGGCACATAATCGTTAGATTCACCAGGGTTGAAATGAAGGAGAAAATACTAAGGGCAGCCACAGAGAAAGGTTGGGTTACCCACAAAGGGAAGCCTATCAGACTTACAGCAGATCTCTCTGCAGAAACCCTACAAGCCAGAAGAGAGTGGGGGCCAATATTCAACATCCTTAAAGAAAAGAACTTTCAGCCCAGAATTTCATATCCAGCCAAACTAAGCTTCACAACTGAAGGAAAAATAAAATATTTTATGAACAAGCAAGTACTCAGAGATTTTATTACCACCAGGCCTGCTTTACAAGAGCTTCTGAAAGAAGCATTACACATAGAAAGGAACAACCAGTATTAGCCTTTCTAAAAATATACCAAAAAGTAAAGAGCATCAACATAATGAAGAATTTACATCAATGAATGGACAAAACAGCCAGTTAACATCAAATGGCAGTAATCCTAAATTTAATTAGACTAAATCCCCCAATCAAATGATACAGCCAAAACCCAACAGTATGCTACATCCAGACCCATTTCACATGCAAGGATACACAAGGACTCAAAACAAAGGGATGGAGAAAGATTTACCAACCAAATGGAGAGCATAAATAAATAAATAAATAAATAAAAAGCAGGAGTTGCAATTCTCGCCTCTGATAAAATAGATTTTAAAGCAACAAAGATATAGTGGTAAAAGGATCAATGCAACAAGAAGAGCTAACGATCCTAACACCCAGATACATAAGACCTTTAAAGAGATGTAGACTCCCTAGACTCCCACACAATAATAGTGGGAGACTTCAACACCAATATTAGATAGATCAATGAGACAGAAAATTAATAAGGATATCCAGGACTTGAACTCAGATCCGGAACAAGTAAACTTAATAAACATTTATAGAGCTCTCCACTTTAAATACATAAAATATACATTTTTGTCAGTACCACATTGCACCTACTCATAGATTTAAATGAAATATTGATCCGCCATTATTAAGCACGATTATTGGCATAAAAGAGGTTTTCAATACCCATTTTTAGAATAAAGCAACATTCCCGTTCTCTCTCCCTCTTTTTCTTCCTCTTTCTTCCTCTCCTTCACTCCTTTTTTTCTTTCTTTCCTTCTCTCCTAAAAAAAAAAAAGAAAAAGAAAATGATCCTTTGAATTTCTGCAGTGTTGGTTGTAATGTACCCTTTGTAAGATCTGATTTTATTTATTTGGGTCTTCTCTCCTTTTTCTTAGTCTGGCTAAAAGTTTGTCCATTTTTATCTTGTCAAAAAAAACAACTTTTTAGTTCATTGATCTTTTGTATTTTTTTCCTCAGGTCAAATTCATTTATCTCTGCTCTGATGTTTATTATTTCCTTTTTTCTATTTCACTAATTTTGGGTTGGCTTTGTTCTTGCTTTTCTAGTCCTTTAAGATGCATAATTAGGTTATTTGAAGTTTTTATTCTTTTTTTGATGTAGGCACTTTTATTCTTTCTTTGAATTTCTTTGTCCTTAAAGCAGGTATTTTGAATTACCAGTCTAAAAGATCAATATCTCTGTTTCTCCAGGATGGGTCCTAGGTGCTTTATTTAGTTTGGTCAGGTTGTGTTTTCCTGGATGGTCTTGATGCTTGTAGATGTTTGTTTGTGTCTGGGCACTGAAGAATTGGGTATTTATTGTAATCTTTGCAACCTGTGCTTGTTTGTACCTGTCCTTCTTGGGAAGATTTTGTAGGTATTTGAGAGTACTTCTGTGTTGTGATCTATGCCGTATCTGCACTAGGGGGCACCACAGGCCCATAATGTTGTGGTTCTTGCAGATTGATAAACATAAAACCTTGGTAGTCTTGAACAAGATCTACTAGAATTCTCTGGATTACCAGGCAGAAACACTAGTTCTCTTCCCTTACTGTCTCCCAAACAAATGGAGTATCTCTCTCTTTGGTGAGCCACCTGGGGCTGGGGGTGGGGTAACAAAAGCACCCCTGTGGCCACCACTGGGACTGCACTGGGTCAGACATGAAGACAACATAGCACTGGGTCTCGCCCAGGACCCGCTGTAACCATTACCTGGCTACGTCCTATGTTTGCTCAAGACCCTAGGGCTCTACAATCAGGTGATGAAGCTGGCCAGGCTTGTGTCCTTCCTTCAGGGCAGCAAGTTACCCCAGGCCATGGGTAGGTCCAGAAATGCTGTCTAGGGAATAGGTACTGGAGTAAAAATTCTTAGATGTATACTTGGTATTCTATTCTACTGTGTCTGAGCTGGCACTCAAACCACAAGACACAGTCCTTCCCACTCTCCTCTCCCCTTTCCACAGTCAGAGGAGCCTCACCCATGGGCACTCCCACCACAGGCCCACAGGGAGTACTGCTATATATTGAAGAAACATTAAATTAATAAAATACCATGAGTCTGTAATAACAATCAATTAAAAGAAATCCAGAAAAGAATCATCCCTATTAATAGTTACTTTTAAAAAATGTATCTGATAGAATTCAAATTTAGGCTATTTTCTCAATATTCTTTTTGCTCCTTTTTTTCTTCTACAACTTTGTTATGCATATGTTGGTACATCTGATGTCCCACAGGTCTCTGGGGCTCTGTTCTTTTATCTTTATTTATATTTTTGTCTCTCAAAAGAGATATTCTCATTTGACCTAACTTTAAAGTCACTGATACATTCTTCTGACAGCTCAGATCTGCTGTTGAGTCTCTCTTATAAAATATTTATTCCAGTTGTTGTACTTTTCAGTTCTAGATATTCTATGTTTCTTTATGATTTCTATCTATTAACTTTTTTTTAAAAAACATCATTCATGTATTTTCCTTTACTTCTTTAGACATGGTTTCATATGCATGTGAAATCTCTGGAGATGTGAAGGATTCTGGCAAAACAGAGGAGTAGAGAGACTGTTAGGAGCCAGATCATGAAGGATCTGGACACCATCTTTGTGGGGGATCAGAGTGGTAAAAGAAGCTATATGGAAAGAAGCAGGCCTTTTGAAAGGTCAGAAGGCTTTGCAAAGCATTGGGGGAGAATAAGCTGAAGGCAGCTGTGCTCTTACCCTGAGACAGAGGGAGAGAAGAAGGTCCAGGGAAAAGTAGGAGAATGTATCTAAATAGGGTTGTTAACTTATATTGTCTGGAAACTGACCTTCCACACAAGACTGCTCCATGCAAAGAGGGGAGGCAGGGAGGGCAACAATGTTAATTACCCATAGATTGTGTTGGCCTCAGGCTTTCAACAATATGTCTGTACTGAATAAAAGCAAGCAGCTCCAGCTGATCAAGACTGCTGCTGACTCTTCCTTGCAGTCCCCTAGCTGCCCTTTCACTGCATACCTGTGTCTGAGTACTCCTTTCATCCCTTGCTCGGCCAGGGTCTGTGGGCAGACCCAGCACAGCTTCACAAGTCTGGACTTCAGTTAAGGCAAGTTGGGTGGCACTGAAGGCTTTTGACCATGAGATCAAATTGATTTTGTAGGAAGACCTAATCTCAGGAAGTGAATAGATGGACAGATGGGTCAGAGACTTAGAAATAGGTTAAGGAATCTTCTTTATTTTTCCATCCAACAAAGGATTTTTGAAGTGGCCGTGCAAATGGAAAGGAACAGTCAGATGACATGGTCTTATAAAGTATGGATAGTCAGGATTTGGTGACTCAATGAGGAGGCCCAGAAAAGCAATCATTGCTGACGTTTAGGCTTGGAAACATGGTGACTTCAAGAAGAGCAAAGACATATTGAGTAAACAAAAAATGTATGGAGTAGTTGCCCCATGGCAGGCACTGTGCTTGTCGTGGCAAACAAGACAGACATGGTTCATAAACATATGGCACATACAGTCCAAAGGAAGCAAGTGAACAAAGCACATTGCAATGGAGCAATGAGGGAAATTAAGCAGGGTGCTGAGACAGAGAGTAGTCAGAAGGACTCATTTTAGATGAAGGATGTCAGTAAAAAATGGGAAGTGAGGTCATGTTTGGGGCTAAAGGTTCAGTTGTAGACGTACTGTTTGCTGAAGCAGGCTGATGTATGTGTAAAATCATTTCATAGACTGTTGAAAAGGCAGAATGAAACCAAGGAGAAAAGTTGAGAATGGACACAAAGATTTGGGATTGCTGGCATGGATCTCTGAGGGAGATTATGCCCATTTGAATTAGGGGTGGGGTGAGGCAGCAACGCGATAAAGAGTAGTTAGCGGGATCAGAGAAGGCTCAAGTGGATAGACAGAAGCAGAAGCTCATCCTCACCATCTAAGGGAGTTTCCAGGAAAATGGCAAATATTGTGGAGCAAAAAAGATGACAGTGATGTGCAGGAGGACCTGTAATGGCCTTTAAGGATTTTCCCGTTTTTATTAAGGATATGGGGGTGAAATTCAGCTCCTGTGGTTAAGGGTGTGAATTTTGGTAGGCAGGAAAGAGCTTGGTGAAGCCACTCTTTGGAGAAGTTTGGTGATGAAGAGAGAGTGACTTGAAGATGTAGCAGGGCTGGGGAGGGATTCTCCTGTGGGGAGAAATGGAGTTTTGTTTGTGTCTAGGCATAGGAAAGTGGCAAGTTGACTGAAGGTGTAGCTTAGAGAATTAGAGCAGGGTTCCAGAAGAACTGGAGAGGGACAGATCAGAGGAAGAAAAGTACTTTGGAAGTCACCTTTTCCTACACTCCAGGAGGGGAAAATACAGAGGCAGACATTCTGAGGTACAGAGGATGCATGTTTGGAAGGACTTAGTGGTACACTGCAGAATTTACGTTATATACCTCTGAACCTCTTGGTAAAGAAGGAAAGAATGGGAGAGGTTGGTCAGGTATGTGGGTGAGGATGAATTTTACAATGTCTTCTGGGGCAATGGAGGAATAAAGTGATTGATGGACAAGGCTGTGGACCCACTTGAAGTTTATCCATTAAAAAAATTGTATGAATGCCTGCTCTACCTCAACTTCCTTATTCGTATACTAAGTAAAGTAATAGTGCTGACCTCTTTAGGATTGTGAGAAGGATTAAATGAGTTAATTCATGGGAAGCTTTTACAACAGTGCCTGGCACTTAGTTAGCACTCAACAAGTAGTTACCACTGCTATTCCATGCTAGGTGCTGTGCGAGGTAAATAGAGAGCTCATCAGTTATTATATTATCCAGTAGCTCATAACAAACAGAGGTAGAACAGAGTCAGTGAGTAATGGAGGTGCACTGGAACTGAGGATTGGGAGACTGTCACAGGACCATGGGGGTTTAGAGTCAGGTGGCAGCGGCCTTGGAGTGCATGGCTCCCTTGCTTGCTCTCAGGTAGGTGTCAGTACTGCGGCTGAAGTCAAGGAGGTGGTGACCTTGCTGAAAGCAGATTCCTGGCTAGGAACTGAGCAATGGTGAGAGAAAGGGGAGGTCAAGGTAGCAGAGGAGACAGTGAGGGGCACAGCTCATTGGAAAGGATTTTGTAAGGATTTGGTCCAGCCAAGTGGTCAGTGTTGAGGAGGGGCTGTGGTCCTACCAAAAGGCTTGCCTATAAATTAGAACCACGGTTGATGCTCATTGTCTAGCTTAGACACATACTGTGAGGACTGGGACAAGACAGGCGGGGGCTGTGTCTGGGTGGGAAGGGGTCAGGCATGAAGTTGGTGAAGAAGAGGGCTAGCATAGAGCACTTACTAATGCCAACAGCTCCCCTGGTGGTTTATAGAGTTGATATGAGCTTGTGTTTGAAAGTATGGGGAAATGAAGTCTCAAAAACTAGCCTTCAGCATTATACCACTGAGTGATGATACTGGTCATCATGCAAGTATGTTTGACATATAACTACTGAATATATTTGCACATTCCAAGAGCATTAAAAAGTACCTCTCTCTCTCAAACAGAGTTTATTTTACTTTTCCTAGAAGTTTTTTATTCTCTTGACTTTTTTTTTTTTTAAGAGATGGGGTCCTACCATGTTGCCCAGGCTGGTCTTGAACTCCTGGGCTCTAGTCATCCTCCTGAAGTGCTGGGATTACAAATGTGATCCAAAATGCCTGGCTTCCTCTTCACTTCTTTATTATAGTAACTGGCTTCATTATTGTCCAAATACCCCATTCATAGTGTGGGAGTCATCCTTAACTTTTCTGTGGTTGCCATGCTTCTAGACCAATACAGTGAGCCTAAAACTCACTTCTCTTTCTCTCCTGTTCTGAAGCTGCAGGTAATCAGTTTCTTAACTAGTCATTTTCCTGCTGTCAATGTCTTCAGCCCCTTGTCAAAATATAAAAGATCAGCTTAACACATTATTTAGAATCACATGGGGCCTTCACAGCCACCTTCCAGATGCAAGGCTTTAAAAGGGGTTATACCTATTGCAATCAATGGCCATCTACTCTTTATTTAGTTTTTCTCATTTCAACACATCTCTTTTAGTTGTTTCCCCTCTGAGGACTTAGCTAGATTCTGAGTGCACAAACTGGTATGAGAGGCGGTCAGTGTCACTGAGACGCATACATCCCGATGGTGAAGTAAGGGCACAGGAAAGAAGACAAATAATGATGCAAGGTTCAACAGATTCCTTTGGCAGCTAGTGCAATTAACTCTACATGGAGAGAAGTCACATTGAGCTACATGGAAGTAAGAGGCTAAACCCAACAAAACACAAAGGCATATAATTGATCGTGGGTGGTCAGGAGAAAAAAGGTGAGCAGAGAAATAACGCTGGGAAAGCCTGTAGGATGCTTGAAGAATAGCTGACCTGTATAGGGATGTAGTGAGAGAGAAGTTTATAAAGTTAATCTGGACTAGTTTTGAAGCCCATTAAATTCCAAGCTAAGATATTTAGATGGTATCTGCTGACAATGGGGATAGAGATGGGAATTATACATTGAAGACCCCTGTGGGGAGTGGGAGATGAGAAAGTGGTGCCATGTTGCAGAGATGTTTTAAGATGCTTCATTGGTGGTACTTAGGAATTTTTAGGATTAGTATGCTGTTAAGATAGTCTAGGCTTAAAGTCATGAAGGTTGTACCTAGGTTGTAGCAGTGGAAATTAATTTAGTGAACACTTACTGTGTACCTACTATGGATCAAGCATTGTACTGGGTTCTCATGGGGAACATATACACAAAACATGGTCTCTGCTTGCACGTCATTCACAATCTGTAGGAACTGTATAGGAAACAAGTGATGAGTGTGACGCTTTTCACAGGTGGGCTTGGCAGTTGATCGAATAGGGGTGGAGGACAAGGAAAAACCGGAATCCTGAACAATGGTGGGTCCTTGAGAGCTCAGGTCAGGCAGAGGTGCTGGTCTGGCTGCGAGGGACACTTGGCTGGCTGGTGTCTAATGTGGTGTAAAGGAGACGCTAAAAGTTCTTCCATGGCTCTCACTGAGCCAGAGAGGGGGCTGGCAGGGATACCACCTGTTTCAGGGACACTAGAATTAACATAATTGATACTGTTTTTTAAGGAAACCGTCAGCTGAGCCACATAATTAATGTATACAAGATAATAATAACCTTACTCCAAAGTTCCGTCCCCATTAAAAATATTCTGGTATAGAACACTGAAAACAGCAAATAATAAATGCACAAGCTTTTGAAAACTGAATTAAATTTTTGTGAAAGTCAAATTGAGGAAGGAGACCCAGGCATCTGGGATTCCCTCCCCCTTCTGTCATCCACAGTGCATCTCAATAGAAGAGAGAGCAGGCCAGCTGGTGCCTCCTGAATCTCCTTCCCGTAGGTGGCAAGCTTCGTCTTGGGGAAACTCTCTGGAAGACACTGTTTTTACTTAAAACAATATCAAGCCAGACACCTTTTCACATGTGAGTCCTAAGACTAAACCGAAACTGTTTCATATGTGATGCCTGAAGCTGAAAACTGAAACCCTTTTCATATGTGATTTCTAAGACTGTAAACCCAAGAATCTTTCACATGTAGTATCTAAAGTATAAGCCTATATAAAGGTGGAAACTTCCTTTGTTATATGAGCTGAGCTTTGGACAAATTATCGCTCAGGCTCCCTGGCTGAATAAACTTCTTCCTTCTCCATTCCATGTTCCAGAGACTGGTTGCCCGTGGCCACTCCTGCTGCAAAATTAAACCAACTGTTTTGAGATCAATACTTCATTGAATCAAGCTTATTTATAATTGTATATTAAATTATAACTATTTATACTACCACTAGATGTCACAAAGATTCAATTTTAAAAGTCTTTTGAGGCAGTCATTTTGAAAAATATTTTTCTCAAACAGAAATAAGGCTTTCTAGTATTTGTAAATATAAGGAATAACTTAAATTTAAAAATTGTGAAATAGTCCAAATATGCAGAAGAGTACACAGAATAATATAAGCAATGTCTTTTATTCCAACCCAGATTTAACAAATATTACCATATTTTGGCAGCCTTTTTAACAAACAAAATCTTAGTTGATGTTTTTGTACCCCTCCTTCACGCCATTCCTCTTATTTGTTGCCCACATATAACCATTATCTTAAAATCAGTGGATATAATACCCAGTTATACATGTTTGATGTCTTAATACAAATGTATATTTATTCATAAATAAGACAGTTTTTTGGGTGAGATTTTAACTTAATGCTTTTTCATTCAGCATTATATTTTCAAGATTTACTCCTAGGCCGGGTGCGGTGGCTTACGCCTGTAATCTCAGCACTTTGGGAGGCCGAGGTGGGTGGATTACGAGGTCAAGAGGTAGAAAGCAGCCTGGCCAACATGGTGAAACCTCGTCTCTACTAAAAATACAAAAATTAGCTGGGCGTTTGGCACGCACCTGTAGTCCCAACTGCTCGGCTGAGGCGGAAGAATCACTTGAACCCAGGAGACAGAGGTTGCAGTGAAATGAGACTGCGCCGCTGTGCTCAAGCCTGGCGACAGAGCAAGACTCTGTCTAAAAAAAAAAAAAAAAAAAAGTAAGATTTACTCCTGCTGATACATGTATATCTACTTCATTTATTTTAACTGCTGTGTATTATACCATTGCACCAGTTCGTCTATTGGTGGGTGTCTGGACTGTTTTAAATGCTTTGCTGTTATACATATACCTATGTATGTATCTCTGTGTATTTGAGAGAATCCCATTGTTTGCCCTTTGCCCCTTGACTCTCAAGTGACACTGCACTAGTAAAGAAGGTCTGTCAGACTCTTCTCCTTAAAAAAGATATCAAGGACCACGTTCCTAGGGCATTTCTGACACAATCACCTGTTGGAAGTCAGGAGAACAAATGTGTGAAGTTTCTCTCTTGGTTCTGAAACTTTAGTATCTAAATCTGCTGCAGGGCTTCTTAAAAGACACTCGCAGGTAAGTCACTAAGTCTGGGCTAGGCTGGAGAATTTGCATTTTTTTTTTTTTTTTTTTGAGACAGAGTTTCGCTCTTATTACCCAGTCTGGGGTGCAATGGCACGATCTCAGCTCACCTCAACCTCCGCCTCCTGGGTTCAGGCAATTCTCCTGCCTCAGCCTCCCGAGTAGCTGGGATTACAGGCACGCACCACCATGCCCAGCTAATTTTTTTTTTTTTTTAGTAGAGACGGGGTTTCACCATGTTGACCAGGATGGTCTCGATCTCTTGACCTCGTGATCCACCCACCTCGGCCTCCCAAAGTGCTGGGATTACAGGCTTGAGCCACCGCGCCCGCAAGCACCCAGATTGCTGGTCAGCAATCTCACTTGAGAAAATGCTACTGTGGTGGGTATACAAGGCACCCTTGTGCAATTCCTGGGGCTCAGGTTGTGGCCTTTAGATATTGCTAGATTGTGTTCCAAAGTGGTCACCTGAGTTTACGCTCCTACCCACAGGATAGAGTTCCCGTTATGATGTATCCTTTCAGATATTTGGTAATCTTACACTTCAAGATTTTTTGCCCATGTGGTAGCTTCTTTGTTACTTAATTAGCACGTTCCCTGATTATTAGTGAGGTTACATATCCTTTTATGTTTATTGGACAATGGATTTGCTCTTTTGGGAAACTGCATGTTCATATTATTTGCTAACATTTGCTATTGATTTGTCTCTTACTGAATTTCTTTGCTGGTTACATGTGTTGGGAAATCTCTCGGGTGAGGTTGGTTGCCTTTTAACTTGGTTTATAGTATTTATTGTTTGGCAAAAATAAGTTTTATTTAAATGTTTCATTTTTTAATGTTTTTAAACATTTTTTTTTCTATAAACTGTTTCCTAGGAACATTTTTAATGTTTTGTGCTTTTTGGTCTTTTGTTTAATAAGTTAATGAACCATTGTTAGTTCTGAAACACTCACGTAGTTTAAGGATTATCTTTTAAAATTATTTCACGTATTTTCATTTAGGTTTTTCAATTTAATTGTCTTCAAGTATAGTCAATAGTCAAGTTGACAATTTAAAAATCAGAGAAAGCATTCTCTTACCAGTTTTATTGAATAATAAGCAGTCTAGCTCATTGCATGTAATTGGTAATACTGCTGAAATGAAATTTTAAGTGATAAAAACGAGCCTGCCACAGTTTAAACATCTCAACCTACTTATACCCTTGCCATTATTTTTGTTTCTTCAATTTGCTGAATAAGCTCTCTAAGGAGAAAGGGAAGCAGCTTTTGAATTAGAGAACTGTAAAGTCTAACTTAGTAGAGGAGAATTTGCCAGGTGGGAGGTGTGCAGTGAGTGCCCTCCAGTGTAGCTAAGGCTGATGGTGATTGGCAGATGTGATTTTATGACTCAAAAGAAATGCTTCCATGCTCCATGTGGCCGCACTGGCTGGAGGGGCACCAAATATATATTTATTTGTGTCAGTACTATTTTAAAATTCATTTCTCTCTGATGTTATGGTTTATTCATATAAATGAAAGAGAACACCTACTATGTACCAGGCCGGTATACAAGATACTTTATGTCAATTTCTTATGTAGGATAGATAACAGCTCAATATTTTAGAGACAAAAGTATAAGTTCAGAGAGTTATTTAAGCTTTTGAGATTCTCAGAGCTGATCATTGAGAGAATGGAGATACAAATCCAGATTTTTCTGACTTTAAAACTTTCTTGCCATTTCTCAAACTCCCCCACTCTTTCTCATAACATTCCATCAGAACCCACTGTGTTCGTAGGCATTCAGCCATTCATTCTTTAGTGTAATATAGCAAAGCTATTTTACTAAACTATAAAAGTGGGCTGGGGGTGGAAGGGGAGAAAAAAAAAAAGCGGGCTGGACTGGATATACTAGGGAAGTGAATGAGCAGATGGGCTGGTGCTAAAGCGTTTGAATGTGGCCATAATACCTTCTGAGAGCCTACAGAACCAGTACCCAAGCATGAATGGTGTGGCAAACAGATAGGAGGAATTTCACTTGCTCTGTCCTTTTTTATAAGGTATTGCTTCTCATGTTGTAATTTCTTATAAATTCTTGGAGGATTTTCTTAAAATGTAGATTATAATTTCCGAGTCTAAGGTGGGGCCCCAGAGCCTGCATTCCTAACAAGCTCGCTGGTGAGGCTGCTAGTCGAGGAACCACGTTGAATAACGAGCCTGGGGTATATTCAGAAGAGGAGAGGAAACATGTTTGATCGGCCTTGGAGTTGCTGGAGGAGGTTAGGGCAGAGCAGCAGTTCTAAGGAAGATAGTAGAGGGCTGCTTTGGGTGAGAATGTGGGTGGTGGCACAGTGCCTCTGGCCCATGCTGCAAGTTCTGAGGCTTTATGATGTCTGATGATTGATTAGACTCAGTGAGAGCAGATAATACACAGAGCAGTGGAATTAAAGATGTGTTTGCTTCATTGTCCCAGGTTTCTTTGGATGTAGCTTTGGAAAAATCAATGTTAAGCTTTCTGCAAATGAGGCTGTGAAAGGCTTTTTTCTAAGCTGTGGCAGCCGAAGGCATTAGAGTAGCTGGCAGCAGATAAATAAGCAGCCACATTTTTTTTTTTTAATTGAGATGAAGTCTCACTCTGTCACAGGCTACAGTGCGGTGGCACGATCTTGGCTCACTGCAACCTCTACCTCCTGGGTTCAAGCGATTCTCCTGCCTCAGCTTCCCAAGTAGTTGGGACTACAGGTGCGTACCATCACACCCACCTAATTTTCGTATTTTTTTTTAGTAGAGATGGGGGTTTCACCATGTTGGCCAGGATGGTCTTGATCTCTTGACCTCATGATTCTGATCCGCCTGCAGGCATGAACCACCACACCCAGCCCAAGCAGGCACAATTTGTAGTAATTACTTATTATCTTGAATTGGGAAAAAATTAACATGGCTTTAGTAGGCAGTTCAGCATAGGAAAAGGAGACTACTTGGAGTCAGAAGAGCTGAGTTTGGGTGTTGTGCCACTTACCAGCTGTACAAGTCAAAATAAATCACCTATTCTCTTGGATCTCAGTTTCCTCCTCTGTTAAATGGGGTCAGCTCTCCCCACATCAGAGTTATTGTGACAGCTGAATGAGCTGACACTTGTAAGAATGCTTTGTAAACTGCAAGACTCTCCCCATTAATTAACATAGAAAATTGGTCTCAGTGAAAGAGTAGGGGTGGGGAGGCTTCCTTCCACATAGAGGTTTTTAAAATTGCTCTCAAATCCCCAAATGAAATAGTTATATAGACATTTGCAAACATGAAACACTTGTGGCCAAATTGTGTGTATTTTCGGAATGAAAGCTTCCGTGGCCTAAGTTATCTAAGTAATTATGTTAGTTCCTCCTTTCACTTAAAATACTTAGATTCAAACTGTACTAATCATTTATATCAAAATATTTTTTAGAGTAAATAAGAGAAAGACGAAATAACAAGAGAAAACTAAAGCCAGGGTGCTTCATGGCTGAATTTTCTTTCTGCACAATTTTCACTTCAAACATTCTAACTCACTGTTTTATTGTTTGGGATAGGGATTTGTTTAGTGAAGACATTATACTGGAGGAAAAAGGTGACTTGATTCTGTCTCTCCCATAGCCTTTGGCTATATTGTGTGACTTTCAGTCAACGATTTAACCCCATGGAGGAAAGTGTAGACTGAGAGCCCACAGTTCTCCTCTGCCTGTAACTATCCAGATTTACCACCCCTGGTGTTGAGTTTAGGGTGAGTTAACCTAGAGGGAAGGACGTGATATTTTAAATTTCTGTATGTCAAAAAATTTCAGATGAGGCAATCTTCAGTTTTTAAAATAAAAAGGAGTTACACTGACTGGCTATGGCCATTTTGTTTTTATTTCAAAATGGAAGCTTTGCATGTAGGCGTAGGTGTTTCTGGATGCTGACAGATGTCGAATAGAAATCTACCTACATTGTGGCAGTGTTCTATATAAATAGCTTTTAGAATTGACACAAGATGATAGCTAATTCTCTGAAATAATTTTGAAACCATGCATATTATATTTAATACATTAATACATTGATTGGTATGAATTAGTTCATGGCTTTGGCTCAATATATATTTTTTTCTTTTCTGTTTTTTTGGAGACGGTGTCTCACTCTGTTGCCCAGGCTGGAATGCAGTGGCGCGATCTCAGCTCACTGCAACTTCTGCCTCCTGAGTTCAAATAATTCTTTTGTCTCAGCCCCCTGAGTAGCTGGGACTACAGCTGCACACCACTAGGCTCAGCTAAGTTTTGTATTTTTATTAGATACAGGGCTTTACCATATTGGTCAGGCTGGTCTCGAACTGCTGACCTCAGGTGATTCATGCACCTCGGTCTCCCAAAAAGTGCTGGAATTACAGGCATGAGCTACAGTGCCCAGCCTGTTTTCTACTTTGAAAATATTAAAAGTTGTTCTCCAGCAGAGCTATGATTAGCTGGGCAGAGAATTCCAGAGAGGCACTCATAATTAATGACACTCTGTCTAACAACAGTTGTGCTTGTACAATCCTCTTTCCTCCCCTCCCCAAGGTTACCCTTGATTGGGAGATAAACTGGCCAATCATACTCTGCTCTTCTATTCCACCCATTCCTGCTTTTTCCTTTGAAATTACTGGCTAATTCTAAACACACCCAGGCTGGTTCCATTTTTACTTCAGCGGGATGTTTATCTTGGTGAGTGTGTTTGCTTATGTAAAATGAGGACTGTTTACCTAATGATACCAACAACCTTCAGAATATTGCTTGTGTGTGTGTGTGTGTGTGTGTGTGTGTGAGAGAGAGAGAGAGAGAGAGAGAGAGAGAGAGAGAGAGAGAGAGAGATGGAGTCTCACACTATTGCCCAGGCTGGAGTGAAATGGCACCATTTCAGCTTATTGTAACCTCCACCCCTCAGGTTCATTCGATTCTCCTGCCTTAGCCTCCCAGGAAGCTGGGATTACAGGCGCTCATCACCACACCCAGCTAATTTTTTTGTATTTTTAGTAGAGACAGGGTTTCATTATGTTGGCCAGACTGGTCTCGAACTCCTGACCTTGTGATCCGCCCTCCTCAGCATCCCAAAGTGCTGGGATTACAGGCGTGAGCCACTGTACCCGGCCCAGAATATTGCTTTTTAATATAGAATCATATATTGAGGCTCTGTGCCCCAGCCTCACTGAAACAGTTGAAATGTCATGAAGATTTTATGCATGCTCTACCTCTTGGACCTTAGTCCATGTTCTTCCTGTTGCCTGCGATACTGTTTCCTAATGCTACCTGGCAAACATGTATCCACCCGTCAGGTGTTTTTCTTGTGGTTAGCCCACTCTAGTGTGGCACATAGTATGTGTTTAATTTGTATTCCGAGAATGAATGAGTGGAATGTAGGAATGAGAGGATGAGTAGGTACGTGGACCCCTGTGCAGCTGGAGTGCAGCCTGTCCTGGTACTGTTGCCCAGCTACCTGTCCTGCCTGCACAGCCACTGTTCAGGTAGCACTCCAGTAGGGCATGATGCTTCCTCTCCACATTTTGTATCCCAGCACAGACCCGGCATGCAGAGAGTCAACAGCCAACCTGGCTCTCTGATTCAACCCTAGACTCAGTAATTGTCCATGTTAGGGTCGGGAGGCTGGGCTACCTCCTAGAAATTTCATTATTTGGTTCAAGAACTGTCTTTTGCTCCTCTTTGAAAATCCTGCTCCTTGATTTTCAGTTGTCAGATTGTGTGATATTTAACCCAGACCTTTAATGTCTTGAGTCTTTTTAAATGACCCAAAAAATAATTTTTAATTTTAAAAATAGTGACTTATTCCTTCCATGACTTAACAATCACTTAGTGTTCTTTGTTCCTTTGCCAACAGACTGTAAGTGCCTTGATACCAAAACCACGTTGGGTTTTGTTTGCTATTTGTATCTCTAGAGACTACGGCAGTATCTGGGCCATAACAGCTGCTCAGTAAATAATTAAAATCAATGAGTAAATTAATGCAAGGGTGAATGAGCCAAGATAAATATTTAATTTTAAAAATTTAGGACAGTTTTAGATTTACGGAATTATTGCAAAGATTATTAAGAGAGTTTCTATATAACTTATATAACCCCCAATTTATCCTATTAACATTTTATATTAATATGATACATTTGTCACAACTAATGAAGCATAATATTCAGATATTGTTATTGTCTAAAGTTAATACTTTATTTAGATTTCATCAGTTTTTCCCTAGTGTCTTTTTTTCTGTTCCAGGATCCTACATTGAGAAGTTACACCCTGTCAGGCTCCTCTTGGTTGTAACAGTGTTTCAGACTTTTCTTGTTTTGATGAGTTTGATAGTTTTGGGGAGTATTAGGTATGTTGCAGAATGTTTTTCAGTTGGAATTTGCCTGATTATTTCATCACGATTAAAGTGAGGTGATGTGTTCTTGGGAGGAAGGACACACAAGTAAAGTGCTGTTTTCATTACATCATATCAACAGGACAAACTATCATCAGGATGACTTACTGTTGATATCGATCACCTTGGTCACTTGGCTGAGGTAGTGTTTATCAGTTTTCTGCACTGTTAAGTTACTTTTCCCTCCTTTTCCATGCTGTGCTTTTTGGAAGAAAGTTACTATGTGCACTATGTGCAGCATAGACTTAAGGAGTGGGAGTTATACTCCACTTTTTTTTTGAGACTGAGTTTTGCTCTTGTCTCAGGCTGGAGTGCAGTGGTGCAACCAGGGCCCACTGCAACCTCTGCCTCTTGGATTCAAGCGATTCTCTTGCCTCAGCCTCCCGAGTAACTGGGATTACAGGCACCTGCCACTACACCCAGTTAATCATTATAATTTTAGTAGAGATGGAGTTTCACCATAGTAGCCAGGCAGGTTGTGAACTCCTGACCTCTGATAATCCACCCACCTCGGCCTCCCAAAGAGCTGGGATTACAGGGGTAAGCCACCACATCCACGTATATTCTACTTTATTAGGGGTAAAATATCAAAATAAATTACTTGAAATTCTTGTGCATGGGAGATTGGTCTATTCATCCAGATTTATTTATATATTAAATAACTTCTTTATATCAAGATGAATGTATGGATTTTTATTTTCTATTTCAGGTTATAAATTCTACTTTATTACTCATTATTTCAGCTTTGGTCACTGGCAGCTCTTTCAGCTGGTTCCTATATCCCTTTGATATACCCACATCTTTTGTTTGTTTGTTTGTTTTTAGTTTTTCCTTGCTTTCTGAAACTACAAAGATTCCACAGGTTCATTTCTACCCCAGTGCTAGGATCAGCTATTTTTCCAAGAATTTCTTCTTTCTTTAATTGGAGAATGATTGCAGAAGCCAAGATCTGGTTGCTAGTTGCTACTGAGATCTGCTGCTTTTAGGCCTTCTCAGCTGCTATGTGTGTCTGTACTAACCCATGTGTATATACATCTATAAATATTTCTCTATGAATCTGCATCTATTTAAACTAAGCATGAATTCATACTGATGTCTTCCTGAACGTTTAATTTTAAAAGTTTTATTGAAAACAGACATAAATCCAGCCATATCAATAATTGTATTAAATTTGAATGGGATAAAACACTTCAGCAGGCTTCATCAGACTGGATAAGAAACCAAAATGTAACTATACATTGTCTATAAGAGACATGGAAAAGTGATACCATCTAAATAAAGACAAAAACATTAAAATTAAAGAGTCACATAATAAAAGGGTCAAAGTCATCAGGAAGATATAACAATTATAAACATGTATGTGCTTAACAACAGAGTCCCAAAGTGCATAAAGCAAAAATGAATTGAAAAGAGGAATATGAAATTCAACAATAATAGTTGGGAAACTCTAATACCTGATTCTTAGTAATTTACAGAACAACTAGACATAAACTCAGCAAGGATATGGAACTTGAACAACTCTGTCAACTCACTTGATCTAACTGACATTTATAGACTACTCCACCCTACAATAGTAGTACATATCAAATATTTTCAGGAAAAACCATTTATGGTGGGTCATAAACAAGTCTTAATAAATTTAAAAAATTTGAAATCAAACAAAATATGTTCTCCAACTACAGTTGAATTAAATTAACACAAATAAATGTGGGACCTGAGCAGTGATCTGTCCTTTGGTTCACTTTATCAAGCACTTTGACATACTGTTCAGGATTAGTTCCATAGGAAAACTTTATGGTGGTGTTTTCCTTAGCAACTTGGTCTCTCATTTCTCAGATTTCTCCCCGCTGTTTGGATTTCCCCTTTCTTGGTGGCTTTTAGTTACCCCACTCTACTGTGCACCTTCCATGACTGTGCCTGCATCTGAAGCCAAATGGTAGAGGACACACAGACAAGAAAAGCAACAGGGGTTTGCTCTACTTACTTGGGGCCACAGTTGCTCCGGTCATAAAGTTTTCCCTCAGAGTTTCAGGTTCCTTCAGACCTCCACTAATTATTTTGTTTTTGTGGAATTATCTTGAGACTGGGGCTTGGGAAAACAGAACAAAGAAAAGTAAATACAGGCAGTTTCTGCTTACCGTCTCAAAGAGAGTAATTCCCTTTCGTGTGTCTGAGTTAGAATTAGAGGACTTTTTCTGGAGTTTTCTGTATGTGTGCCCTTGTTCCCACCTCTGAGTTTTGTGCCTCCCTGGGTCCAAACTGGAGATACAAAAAGGGGGAAAAATGGGAACCTTACTACCATTTCAGTGGTACTTTGAATTCTTGTTTTCTTTCCCTATCTGCCTAATACTGTTTACTTACCAGAGTACTGAAATAGCTGCTCCATGCATTCTGTCCAGGTTTTACAGCTGCATTCAGTAGGAGAGACAGGGTGGAGTCTGCCTACTCCGTCTTATCTGGAACTGTAACTCTACATGTTTGTTTCTTTGTTTATTTATTTATTTATAGAGATAGAGTCTCACTCTGTTGCCCAAGCTGGAGTGTAGTGGCATGATCTTGGCTCAGTGCAACCTCTGCCTTCCACGTTTGAGTGATTATCCTGCCTCAGCCTCCAGAGTAGCTGGGATTACTAGCGCGTGACATCACACCCAGCTATTTTTTTGTATTTTTAGTAGAGATGGGATTTCACCATGTTGGCCAGGCTGGACTCGAACTCCCTGACCTCAGGTGATCTGCCCACCTCAGCCTCCCAAAGTGCTCAGATTACAGGCATGAGCCACCACGCCCGGCCTCTGTGGGGGACTATACCTGTATAGATATGCAGATATGTTTCCTTCAAGAGAAAATATACTAATATATTAATTGTATATTATTTAGTAGTGGAACAATCATGGTATTTTTCTTTTTTGTATTTTCTAAATTTTCTCACAGTTACTGTATATTACACCAAAATAAAACCCAATACATGTTATTTTTTAAAAAAGAACTCAAATGCAATGAAACAGTTTCAGTAATTGGATGTCCACAGCACCATTTGGTATAGAAAGTATGAAACAATTAGTTTCTATTTCCATATAGGAAACCAGACTTGAAAAGCCCAGAGATGCTTGGGATGTTGCTTTCTAGGTTTGGAAGATTACTTTTGACTCCACAAACCAATTCACCTGGACTGGATAACGATCCTGAAGCATGAACCCTTTCTTGTACCCTATCTCCCTTTCTTTTTCCTGCTTCTTTTCCAGTGGATGAGGCCTCGAGGCAGCACTGCGGTTACAAAGTCAAACGCAGCACACACACTGCCATTTCTCATTTGGTTCCCAGCCTCCTTGACATCTTTGAACTTTACAGAGCCAGGTGATTTTTAAACAGTTTTGATTTGGACCTTAACTACATTAAAATTGATAAATTATGGATATAGTTTGGATGTCCCCTCAAAAATCTCATGTTGAGATGCAATACCTAGTGTTGGAGGTGGGGACTGGTTGGAGGTGTTTTGGTCATGGGGGCAGAACCCTCCGGGCTTGGTGCTGTTATCGCCATAGTGAGTGAAGTCTCGCGATATCTGGTGGTTCAAAAGAGTGTGGCACCTCCCCCCACCTCTTGCTCCAGCTCTCAGCACTTGCTGTGCCTGCTCCCGCTGTGGCCTCCACTACAAGTAAATAAATGACCCCTGAGGCCTCCCCAGAAGCCGATTAGATGCCAGTACCAAGCTTCTTGTGCAGCCTGCAGAACTCTGAGCCAGTTAAACCTCTTGTCTTTATAAATTACCTAGCCTCAGGTATTTTTTATAGCAATCCAAGGATGGCCTAACACAACCATAATTCTTGTCTCATAATATGTGCTGTTCCTTAGTCTTTTCATGACTCACTTTGCTTATTTTTCCATCTGGAGCAGAGGACACAGGGCAGTGAAGACCTAACCCCAAGCTCTGGCTGGAGCAAGAGGTGTACTGTGATCTTTTAAAAACCATGGCTTAATAACTTAAGCCGTATAAGGTATAATGTCCTTCCATCCTGATAGCCTCTCTATTAACATTTCTTCTAGGACATGTCTACTAGTGATAGACTTTTTCAGTTTTTATTTATCTAGGAATGTCTTATTTTTTTCTTTCTTTTTAGCAAATAGTTTTGCCAGATACAGAATTCATACTTGACGGTTATTTTCCCCCAGGACTTTAAATATTTTATCTTACTGCTTTCTAGCCTGCATGAGTTCTGAAGAAAAATTGGCTTTTAATGTTTTTGACTATAATTGTCCTGCTCTTTGACTATTACTACTGTTATATGTGATTAGATGCTTTCTGTTTCTGCTTTCAAGATTTTCTCTTTTCTTTGGCTTTCAGCAATTTTACTATAGTGTGGCTTGTTGTGTGTTTTAAAATTCAACCTTCTTAGAGTTTTTTTTTTTTTTGAGACGGAGTTTCACTCTTGTTACCCAGGCTGGGCAATGGTGCAATCTCGGCTCACCACAACCTCTGCCTCCTGGGTTCAGACAATTCTCCTGCCTCAGCCTCCTGTGTAGCTGGGATTACAGGCACGCGCCACCATGCCCAGCTATTTTTTTTTTTGTATTTTTAGTAGAGACGGGGTTTCACCATGTTAACTAGGATGGTCTCGATATCTTGACCTCGTGATCCACCCACCTTGAGCCACCGTGCCCGGCCAGAGTTTGTTGATATTCTTGTATGTAGAGATTCATGTCTTTCATCAAATTTGGGAAGTTTTTGGCTATTATTTCTTCAGAAATTCTTTCTGTCCTTTTCTCCCTCTCCTGTCCCTCTTGGAATTTCATTATGCATATGTTGGTGTAGCTGGTGTTGTCCTACTGGTCTCTTAGGCTCTGTTTATGTTTCTCAATTTTTTTGTTTTTACTCCTCAAATGAAATAATCTCAATTGGCCTGTCTTCATATAACCAGGTCACGGGACAGGATGGGGCTCAGCTTCCCCCCAATTTGATGTGCCCACGGTTCTTGGCCTCTCTTTCTCCTAAGAATGGGAAAGGGGCCTGGCCGCCCAGTGAGCTTACAGTTCAATTAAATGTCGGACCCAAAGAGTTTAGCAGAAAGCGATTTATTAGGCAGAGAGAGAGAGAGAGAGAGAGAGGGAGGGAGGGAGGGAGGGAGGGAGGGAAGGAGAGAGAGAGGAGAGAGGAGAGAGGAGAGAGAAATTGTTGTGGGAGAGGTTCCCCTGAGAGGGAAATTCGGGCAGGCAAGCTGCAGTGGAGTTTAACTTTGAAGTTGTTCCTGCCCCATTCATGTTATTGTCCAATGAGAGGAGTTCTTTCAGACTCCCTCTGGAGTGATTAATCTTTGAATCTGTTGCTGGATTGGCTGGCTGGCTGGTCCAGAACAGAGGCCGTTACTCTCAGAGATCTTCTTAGGCTTTTTTAAACAAAGGATCACACCTGAAATTTCACCTAGCCCGCCCGCAGGAAAGTTAAACAAAGAACTCCAGGTTCCCGAATGGGGAGGTGGATGTAGGCATGGTGCTGGAAGTTCTTGCCTTTGAAACCACGCCCCTTATGTACCCAAGAAGACAGGATTTTTCCTTTAACACACACAGTCCCTCATTCAGATATACTGATGCTTCCTTCTGTTTGCCCAAATCTGTTGGCGAACTCCTCTAGTGAAATTGCCTTTCTGTTACACTTTTTATCTCCAAAATTTCTATTTGGTTCTTTTTAAAAACTGTTTAATTATTTTATCAATATTTACTATTTGATGAGACACTGTTCTCCTGATTTCCATTAGTTCCTTTTCTATGGGTTCTTTTAGCCTTTTAACATATTTAAGATCATTTTAACGTCCTTTTCTTTCTTTCCTTCCTTTTTTTTTTTTTTTAATTTGAGACAGGCCCTCCCTCTGTCACCCAGGCTGGAATGCAGTGGTGTGATCTTGACTTATTGCAACCTCTGCCTCCTAGGCTGAAGCGATTCTCCTGCCTCAGCCTTCCAAGTAGTTGGGGCTACAGGGGCGAACCACCATGCCTGGCTAATTAAGGTCTTTTTCTAATATACCCAATGCGTAGGTTTTCTCAGGGAGGCTTCTACTCGTTTATTTTTTCCCCTGTGAATGGCCAAACTTTCTTGTTTGTTTTTTGCATGTCTCATAACTTTGTTGTTAACTGGACATTTTGAACATTATAACGTAGTGACACTGGAAATCAGATTCCACCCCCACCCCAGTGTGGCTGTTGCTTATTGTGGGTTATTGTTATTTGTTTTGTTATTATTTTTCTGAACTATTTTTATAAACTCTGTATTCTTTGTTAAATGCAGTCAACAAAGTCCGCGTTCCATTAGCTTAGTGGTCAGCTAGTGTTGGAGTTTCGTTAAATGCTTTAGACCAAGAAAAGAAAAAAAAAGAAAAAGAAAGGAGCCACAATACCCTCCTAGTCTTTGAAGATTGCCTCCAGGTTAGGTTACTCTTTGATGCTTGACTGGGCCATTTACAATTCTGCCTTAACCTTGTGAAAGGAAAATAAATCTTGGGACCCCAAATCACTAAGCTAAGGGAAAAGTCAGGCTGGGAACTGCTCAGGGCAAACCTGCCTCCCACTGCATTTGAAGTCATCCCTCTGTTCACCAAGATAAATGCATATTCTGATTGCCTCATTTGGAAATCTAATCAGAAACTCAAAAGAATGCAACCATTTGTCTCTTATCTACCTATGACCTGGAAACCCCCTCCTAACTTTGAGTTGGCCCACCTTTCCAGACTGAATCAGTGTATATCCAACACATATTGATTGATGTCTCATGTCTCCCTAAAATGTAGAAAACCAAGCTGTGTCCCTCCCACCTTGGACATAGGTTGTCAAGACCTCCTGAGGCTGTATCATGGGTACACGTCCTCAACCTTGGCAAATAAACTTTCTAAATTAACTGAGACGTGTCTCAGATTTTTGGGGTTCACAGCTTTCACTTCCTACTTGCATAAAACCTGCAAATCCACCAGAAATGAAAGCTTAAGGTCTTCTTGGGCCTTTTCAGAGCATGTGTCCAAACCTGGATGTGTGCCTCATCTTCTTTATCCTCCAGTATACGTGCTAGCTTTTAAAATCCCTTATTACCCCAGGCATCTCTTTTCCCAAGCTCTTCTTCCCTAGATTTGGTCTGTTTCTTGATTGTCCTGAGTGTCATTTATTCATTACCCTAGTCTGCTGCAGCCAACACTTTTGCCTTCAAATACTTTCAGCAAGCCACTACTTGGGAAGTTGCTCCAGTCCCAGGAATGTTCTGAATTGGGCAAAACAAAGGCAAGCCCTTGCACCAATCCTTCAGGGAGCTACCTGACAGCCTGCTTGAAACTTACAACCACAGTTCTTTGAGAATAAGGTTCATGTTTTTCCTTGTGGCATTAGAACCTGAACTCAGGGTGTGGGTTGCCGTCTTCACAGTCATGTTGATCTGGAAAGTGGGATATGGCAGGCAGGCAATTTAAATGCCATAGCACTCTATTATGGCAGTTTAGCAGCTTCTTTCTTTATTGGGCTTTTTGTAAATTCTTGAATGGATTCCAGAGTTCTACAAAAGTTGATTTAGATAACTTTGCCTTATTTATGTATTTTGTGGAGAAATGGAGTCCTGGAATTCTCCACCATTTTCAGTAACAGCACTCCTTTCTTTACCTTTTTGTACCCTTCATTGTGTCTTTCTTCCTAAAACAATTTTAAAAATTGTTTTTATCTTTATAAAAAGGATATTATATTTCATATTATTATTTGTCCTTTTTAAAAGCTATTATATAGCCACAGGTTATCCCTGTCTTTGCATGTGATACTGTGCTTCATGTTATTATATGTAAATTTTTGGTGCCACAAAAGAAGTAGCACTTGAATATAAATTTTCTCAGCAAGGCAATTTACTTCTATAGACGGGTTTGTTGCACAGATGAAGCAATGATGAGTGCACACCTGGACAAGGGAGGGGAAGAAGTTTTTATTCCTGATGCAGATAGCCCCTACTGCTGTGATGTTCTCCTGTTGGCTAGGGTTGGACTGCACAGTCTAAGCTAATTCTTACTGGCTATTTTAAAGAGAGCAGGTGTACGAGCCAGAGTGACTACAGGGTGGGTAGTTTGGTGGGAGGGACAGTTATGGAACAGGTCAGAGCAGGTAACCAGGGGTCACTCAGGTCAAAGCAGGTGACCAGGGGAACAGATGTGAACTACTGATTATAACTGCTGGGAAAGTTGTTTACCAAAACCAGAAGCAAGGAGGTACAGAAACCAGGAAGTTAAACTTTAAAATGGAGAATTAAAGAATAAGAGAGCTGAACATACTGACATACTAAATCTTTGAAGAGAAATTTGGAGTTCACTATATCTAACAATGTTTTGCCTAATGAAGGATATTCTGGAGTTGAAGTATTTGTGGGAGATTGATTTGGCCTTCCCTATGTAAATATTGTTTGTATGCCTTAATTCAGGGTGAGTTAGCCTAAGGGATGCTCATCTTTCTAGGTATGAATCAGCAGGTAGTTTTAAAACACCTGGTATGTGCAAAATGGTACCAGCCCCTGAAGAGTATGTCAGTGTGGAAAGTTGGGCCCAACTGGTGCCTGACTCAAATGTGAGATGATAAGGATGGGTGCAGAGGTAACTATCTGTGGACACAGAAATGGAGGGGAGAATTCTAAGGCACTTTTGAAAAAGAATTAACAGACTATGGAAACTTGAATATGATGAGAGACAATCAGGAATTGAAACAGTCTCCTAGGGTTTTAAGCCTCAAAAGTCAGGGGAAGAAGTGATTCTACTAAAAAATATATATAGTTTTGAAAAATGACAATGCATAGCTGGTTTTGCATTATATTGCATGAACATCTCAGGGCCTGTTCTTCATTAGGTTATTCCTCAGTGAAGGCAAGGGTCTTAACTCTCCTCTCTGATTTTGGAGTCTTCCTCCTATCTAGCTTGTATTCTACGCTGTCAGAATGAAACCCATTTCACTGCTTTTCTGCAGGACTACTTACTGCTTGGAGTAAGTAGTGGCTGGTGAAGTTCTCCCTTTCAGAGCCTCTCTGTCTCCCTGTTGCCTTTCTAAGTTCTGTAATTCCTTTGGGCCCTAGCTTGGGTCCTGCTTTTTCCATCAAGTCTTTCAACATTTCTTTCTTCCTTTTCAGAATAGGAGTTGTATATGGGGTGTGTAGGGATGGAAAGGTGTTTTACCTTTCCTTACTCATCGTAAGGGTCATATAACAAAACATAAATTAACAAGAAAAAAGCATAATAAATTTATTTTATCAAAGTTCTTTTGTTTTGATGTCTACTCTAAACACGTCCATATTTGCTTCACTTGTCTATGCAGATATATTTTGCACATAAGCAAAATTAAGATATTTCTGTAAAATTTGTTTTGTAAACTGTGTTTTCCTTTTTGTTGTTTTTTTTTCAACTTTTATTTTAAATTCAGTGGGTACACATGGAGATGTATTACTAAGCTGTATTGCAGTGATGCTGAGGTATGGGGTATGAATGATCCCATCACCCAGGTTTAATCAAAGTTTCATGTGACATAGGAGCCTTCAGAAATGAAAATCCAAAGACCCAGGGAAAACTCTACTTTTATGCTTAGGTTTAAAGAATGGAGTCCTTGTAGGAATGTGAATGGATAATGGGTTTGACCTAATGGTAGTAGACTTAGGTGAGGGGTTCTGACCCAGCAAGACCTGCCTATTCAGATTCTTCTTGGCTTCTCTGTGCAGCATTCCTTCTTCCCAGGTATGAAGCAGGACACTCTAGACTGAAGGACTTCAAGAGAGAAGGGAAGAGTGGTCTTTCTACATTTTATGGCTTGCGCTCGGCTAGAGAAGTTTTAGTTTCTATGACCTACCTTGGGGAGAGGAATTCTGGTTTCTATGACTTGTATCAGGGAAGAAAGAGGGGTGGGAGATGGGAGGAGGGGAGAAGATCAGAGTGACCTTGCTTCTGAGGCCCCTTCAGTCCCCTAAAGTACTCAGCATGCCAAGGTGACAGACTTGCAACATTGTTTCCTGAGCCCCAACAAGTGCTTATTTGGAATTTTACCCATTGAGTGTCATATATTGTTGAAATTACCTAAAATTTCAGAAATGTACAATCTGAATCAATTTCATCTTTCTTTCATAAGTAACGTATTCAAGCTCCAGGGTGGCATCTATAGGAAAAATTTGTGCTTCAATTAGTGAGGCAAAAGAAGTGTTTCCACTGAAAATACTTCATGCTGTTATTTACCCGTTTAAGTCAGAGGAGCTTCTAGCTATAGATTAGAAATGTGCAGGTGCACTTAGCACCTGCACACTCAGCCTCTGCACCCAGGGTCCTCCCTGTGGCCTCCCCATCAGGCATGGCAGTATAGAGTTAGCAAAGGGCACCATCTGGCAGGGCCTCCCCTCCAGCCCTGCAGCCCTGTGGTGCTGCCTAGGGTCAGGTGCCCTTGAAGCTCCATCACTAAACTGCTCAGTCACTAAACTGCTCAGTGGGACTTACGGGCACTGCTTATTGGAAACAGTCTTCCACTGGATGTTTTATATTCAGAGATTCATCAGGGGTAAATCTGACTGAAAGAGAGATTGATTTTGAAAGCCAAGTTTCTCCAGAGGCTTGTCAGTGAAGCTTCAGAGTTGAAGGCTGCAGCATGTCAGTGAGATCAACTGTGTGCCTTTGACACATTGGACTTAGGTCATCAGTCCAATGTGGAGTTTGCGGGTGGGGGCTGGCATTGGGACAATTCAAGCGTAAGAGAGATGGGGACAGGATGTGCGTAAGGGAGGACTCAGTTTGTGTTTATGATGGTAAATTAGGGCCATGAAGTCCTTGTGGGTTTGACTCTCAAAGTAATTACATCTGTGCTAAGATCTGCCCATTCTTTCTGAAGGGGGTATATTGACTACCATTTTAACTCTTTGTTGAATTGCTACTTCTTTTATCTAACAGGTAAAATTCATTACAAAAATGAAAACTTTTGGCTAGTTCTGCACTGCCGGAGCCTTCCATCGTTATCTTTTACAGAAACGTGCTCATGAATAAGGAACTTCACTGCAGCATTATAGTGATGTGAAATAACTGGAGAAGCCCAAAATATTTAACCACTGGGGAGTGAATGGTTTAATAATTTATGGTATATCCTTATTGTAGGATACTATTCAAGCATTAAAAAATAAGACCTATCTGTATTTAGAGATATGAAAAGAGGGCTATAATATATTGTGGGCAAAAAAAGTGAGATGCAAAATTGTATGTGTATATGTATATACACACATATACATACGTATGCATACATACCATAATCTATTCTTGTTCAGAAGAAAATCATGTATAGGTAACTAGACTGCTTAATAATATTAGCTAATATTTGTTAAATTTGTATTGCGTGCTAGCACTATGTCTAATACTCATCATACCTAAATGACCTCATTTAGTTCTCATAATAACACTGTGAGGTAGGTAATTATTTAACCTGCTTTACAGTAGAAGAAACAGCACCTTAGAAGAGAGGTTAGGAGGCCTCCTTCAGGCTGCATGGGTGGTTACAGGTGAAAGTTGGACTCTAGTCCAGAAGCCTGCACTTCCACTCACCATGCTCTGTGCACTGCTTCTTAATGTTTACCTGCTAAAAGAATGTAAGATATCCTAATATTTAGTTGGAGTCTTAAAGAAAACTCATACTTGAGATGGGTTTTTAACGAGGTGCCTCTCAGATCTTTCCCTCGCACCCTGAATTGGCATCCAGGCTGCTGAAGCCTCCTGCACGTGTATCTATGGCCAGGTCATCTCCCCAGCCTGGTGCCTTCCACCCCATGGTGCTGTTACTTATTATAGAATTCAGAAGGCAGTTACCGCTTTGTTTTCTGTGTTCTTGATAGCTCTAGGAACCTTGATGAGTAACTGCTACTTAAACATCTTGTTCTTAAATTTGGAGCATAATTGTTATGATACAGTTCTAACTGCTAGGGTCACATAGTTCTACAGTTCAAATTAAACATTAGCTCGTATTGCCTCTAGGTTTAAAACTAATGTACCCAGAAGAAATTTACAAAGGGCCAGCAATGTTGAAATAGCTCAAGTGCAAACAGAGGGGTCCTGTGTGCTGGCCATGACAAGGTGATGTTGTCTAAAGTTCCTATTTGATTCCTTATTTGTCCATCCCTTCCCAGTGGCCTTTTCCTCTCTGAACTTTCAACAGTCTTGTGCCTAAGCACTTCGGTTCACTCCTTGTTAAAGGAGCCGTTGATTCGCTATGCATATGTAACATCCGTTACTTTATTCTAGAAGAGGTCACTTTATTACCGTTTTAATTCCCTGAAGGGGTGATACTGCCACTGCTCATCAGTTAGCAAAACTCAAGCTTTGGAGCACCAGAATGTGTGCCAGAAAAAATGTTTTCAAATGCTTGTATAATAAACTCAGAGTGGAGGTTGGTCACCAGAATTGTTAGATGGGGCTACTGCCTCCTAACTTTCGCTTCCCACAGTCTGAGCTTTGATGCACAAGGTTATGGTTGATTACTTTTTATTGCATCCTAGTGGGAACTGGCTTCTCCACCCATCCTCATTCTCTGTGATCTCAATTCCCCACTGTTCCTTGGTTCTGAGGATGCAGCTGGATCTGAGAGTGGGAGACGCTGTCGTTTAGTACATGAACTAGTTGAAGATACAATCCTGTGTGACTACTTTTCACGGTCAAAGCAAAGACAATGCAAGAGTTATGTGTATATGATGTTTATTATGTATATAGAACTGAATATGTAGATGTTTATTTTATCATCTGGAAGCTTTAGGAAACTGGACTTTGATAATTTCCCTGTAATGAATCCATTTTCTCAAAAGTATTTTTTTTCTGGAAAAAAAACCCACATTGTTCTCTGTAACCTCCCCGAATAGATACTTTTTAAAGATCTTGCTTGTTAAAGCGCCTGCCAGCCTCTTAGAGAAGTTGACAGTGTAGGTGATTTCTGTTAGCAGAAACACGTGGACTCAAAGCTTTTCCTATAAAGTGAATCTGTTGTGTAACATCACGGCTGGCTGCGAATACAGGTGCGTGCTCCTGCTCTCCCTGAGAAGGTAGAAGGGGAAGAGACCAATCCAGATGAGATGCAGGGGAGGAGGGGACACCCAACAGCAAAGACACTGTTGCAATCTTTGCCTAAACCGTATCTCTGAGAAAGAGTTTCTTGTTGCCTGTTTATCTCTGGGTTACCACGGACCCCTGTTCTCCAAGCTGGTTGTGAACTCTGGGGCACTACTGAGATTGGCTGAGAGCTGAAGGACAGTCCCAAAGGAGCTTCAGTTCTGCGGAACCTATACAGCCTTCTTTACCTTACCTTGACCAGGTGCTTAGAGTTTGGAAAGTCAGGGGTAAGAACTGAAATTCCTCGAGGTAAGAAGACTCCCCTCTTAGGAAATGGACTCCTCCTGTTTTTTCACATGATTATTCAGGCACTTTTGCTTTTCCATATATAGGAGTCGCCCAGGAGCAAGCTGTGGCAAGCCGGAGGGAGGGACTCATCTGTGTTCCATCCACTCCCTCCCTTCCTACCCGTCCTCGCCTGTTCTCACGTGCTCACAGGCATTTAGGCAGAAGTGATCTCCGTGGCTCTGCCAAAGAAAAGCCTATTGGGTTGAAAAAAGAAAAAAAAAAAACAAAACTCAGTCAAAGTCACAGCCTTAAAATTGTTCCTTGGAAGAAGCTTGAGTGGTGAAGTGTGAGAAGATGAATGGACCTGTGGATGGCTTGTGTGACCATTCTCTAAGTGAAGAAGGAGCCTTTATGTTCACGTCTGAGTCTGTGGGAGAGGGACACCCGGGTAAGTAGGCTGTCCTGGACCGCCTAGAAAATTGTCATTCCAAGCCTATACTGAGGGAGTTGCTTAAAAATGGTTTTAATTGACACACAATCACATAATAATTATGCATATTTATGGGGTGCAGTGTGTGGTTTTAATATATGAATATAACATGTAATGATCAAATTAGGGTAATAGGCATACCCATTGCTGCAGACATTTATGCCTGTAATCCCAGCACTTTGGAAAGCCGAGGCAGGTGGATCACCTCAGATCGGGAGTTCGAGACCAGCCTGACAACCCCGTCTCTACTAAAAATACGAAAACTTAGCCAGTCGTGGTGGTGCATGCCTGTATTCCCAGCTACTTGGGAGGCTGAGGCAGGAGAATCACTTGAACTCGGGAGGCGGAGGCTGTGGTGATCCGAGACGTGTGACTGTACTCCAGCCTGAGCAACGAGAGCAAGACTCGGTCTCAGAAAGAGAAAGAAAACATTCAAAATTCCCTCTTCTAGCTCTTTAGTCACCTTACTGTGCAAAGAAATGCCAGAACTCATTCCTTCTACTATCTGAGTGTAACTTTGTACCTGAGGGAGTCACTTTTGCTAGAGCTCTTCAGAGCAACCTGTGTGAGTTACTAGGAGGGATCTCTAGAGAAACAGCATAGAGTAGTTTTGTAAAGCAGTCCTTCGTGAGGAAACCGTGCTATGGCCCACCACCAGCATGCCAGCACAGTGGGGCCAAGACAGGGAGTAACAGCCAGCTAAGAGTGTGGCACATGCAAAACATATGATCAGCTCTTACCTTTTTATATGTATTTTTTTTTAAGTAAAGCTTTAATCTCTTATCAATGGCCAATTTAAGTCAACAGAGAATGTTCCTGAAACCAGACCATGGGTGACTAAATTTTGCATGTAAAGCATGTGCAACTTAGGCATGAAGCCTGCACCCTGGTCACTGCTGGGGTAGACCCCTAGGTGGTGGGGACTCAGGGACATTCGACCTTCTTAACAGGAAGAAAATTTAGGCATTGGTTTTGGTCCCTGAAAAGTAGGTAGAATGTAATGTTGGGGAAGTGAGAGAAGCTTCCTTGGTGACGGTGAGGACAATGATCAGACATTCAGAGCCTCAGGTGGTTCTCAAACTTTAGGGTGCTTTAGAATCCCCAGAGGGCTTGTCAAGATACTGAGGGCTAGGCCCCACCCCCCAAAGTATCCGATTCAGTAGGTCTTGGGAGAGGCTCCAGAATTTGCATTTTTGACAAGTTCCCAGGAGATCATGATGCTCTGGGCTGAGAACTGCACTGAGAACCACTGCTCTGGGAGACCCCTGGGGGACAGATGTACAGACTTCTGTGTTTAAGTACCTCTTCAAAATTCATTCACGTGTTTGCTAACTTATTCCCAAGTGTGCCTTTTTCCCTCTTCCTTGCTCTTGTTTTTTCTCAGAGATACTTATCTTTCCTACCTTGTAAGTTGGCTTTGGACACCTCAATGCACTACTCCTTCCAGAGACTTTCACCGGTGGTCCTTGGCTGGAGGCAATTTTGCCCCACACCCCCAAGAGCATTTTGTATTGTCTGGAGACATTTTTGGTTATCACAACTTTGGGGGGTGGGGTAAGGTGCTATTGGCATCTGTTGGGTAGAGATCAGGCACACTGCTAAGCATCCTACAGTTCAGGACAGCCTCCCAGCAAAGAATCAATTATCTGACCCAAAATGTTAACAGTGCAGCTGTTGAAAAACCTTGAATTGAATTGAGTTTTTTATGTGACTTAGCTCAGTTCAATGTAAATAGCCTCTTTCCTTGTGCATAACTGTATACACAAAGTGTCTAGGTTTACTGTATTTTCAATCTCAGATACATTGCTGACTTGTGACACATTCTGGTCTTAGGAGAATGCTTCACTCCACCTGGAGGAAATGGGTTTTTTGGCATGCAGTGGCCAGTGGTCCCAGGAACGGCCCATTGTGCTCAACAGCAATGTGCTCAGGACTGAGAATGCACATGCCAGCCAATCAGTTGATTGTTTTGTGTACGTAATGATAGCCAATCTATTTGACTGTCCCTTGTACTTGCCATTATAATTGTTGAGGTAAGTCAGTTTCCTTAAGGCTTGGTGACTTTTTGCTGGTCATTCCATTGCTGAATTCCTCTCTACTAGAAAGATAAAGTTTTCCTTTTCCAGTTTTCCAAACAAACAAACAACTATTGGCTATCTTAAACCTACTAAGTGATATTGATAAAAATTTTGAAAGAAAAAAAAAAGCAATTCAGAAACGACCTCCTCGGGTGTGGTCTTGGTGGCGCCGTCTGGAAGCCCCAGATAGATTCCAGCTTTGTTCCTCCTCAGGGTTGGATTTTCCTAGGCAGAGTGGGAGCCTGTAAGCTGTGTCTTTGCACAGACAAAGATATCCACAATTAGCGATCAGTCACTAAGCTTCTAGGAACCCTGATGGGCAGGTATAAGGTGGCCAGCATGTATCTATTTTAGGGTATTTCAGCAGCGGGAGGCCTTCACTGGTAGAGGTGTGCAGAGGCTCTAGGCCCAGACAAACCTAAAGATACTACCAGGATCTGCCACTGGCAGGAGGCTAAATTAAAAAAAAAAAAAAAGAAACAAACAAAAAGAACCTCAAACATATGTTTAGCAGTAGTTTCTAAAAAGAAGATTAGGGAGTTAATGAATATCTTTAATTACAGAATTTAATAACTGCTTTTGAGAGCCAGACTGCTTGATTCTGGATCTGAATTCTTAACAAAAACATAATACTCTATTAAAAGCAGATTGTGGGTATTTTTAACACTGAATGAGCTATAATATATGTAAATAGAGTTCAGTTTTCTTTCTTAATTTGTAGGTATTGACAGTTTGCATAACTCCAAAGCAAGAGTGGATTTTCCTCCAGCACCATTTAGTGCTTTATATTCTAGACCACGTGAGTCTTTAAGGCAAATAGTGGAAGAATAAAATCAAATCCCAGCTCATGTTGAACCCTTGTCATTCCTACCTTAATTGAAGAGGTCAAGACCAGCTCTAAGGACAGCTGGCCTTCAGGAAGCTGAGTGACCGTGTGGGAGGATCTGAGAGCTGCTTATGGAAGTATTCTGCCAAATAACAATGATGTGTTAGGGGTTCTCCTGTAGAATTCTTATGGTGGAGTCATGTACTTGGGTGTGGTGTTTTATATATGGTGCATTGCATCTTGTGGAACCTGCCATACATCTGATTTTACCTCTTGGCACCTAACTTTACTGACTTTTCTTAACTATTTTTAAGTTTATTTCCAGGACTTTTCTAGATGTTAGAATTAAAGGGAACATAATGAGGAATGAGAGACTTTTTATTTAGAAGAATGTGTGTGTGTGTGTGTGTGTGTGTGTGTGTGTGTGTTGCTTTAGACTTCTAGAAGAGCTGATTTTGGCCGGGTGTGGTAGCTCACACCTGTAATGCCAGCATTTTCGGAGGCCGAGGTGGGTGGATCAATTGAGGCCAGGAGTTCAAGACCAGCCTAGCCAACCTGGTGAAACACCATCTCTATGGAAAATACAAAACAAATTAGCTGGGCCTGGTAGCTCATGCCTGTAATCCTAGCTACTTGGGAAGCTGAGGTGGGAGGATCACTTGAACCTGGAAGGTGGAGCTTGCAGTGAAATGAGATTGCACCACTGCACTCGAGCCTGGGTGATAGACCGAGACTCCATCTCAAAACAAAACAAAAAAAAAATGTATTTCTCTTTTAGGGTATTCTATGATGTTATATAATACATGTCATCCAAAATTAGGCAGGAATGGAAAGAAATAAAAATTTCAAAATATTTCTAATTTCTTATACTTAAAAAAAGTGTTTTCCCTCTGGTAGAGTTGGTATGTAAACTGAAACAATGTCTAATTATTTCAACATTTCAATTTGTTATCACTAATAATTTTATAATTCTGACCCATGTTTGCTCTTGTCCAGATAAGATCTGTGACCAGATCAGTGATGCAGTGCTGGATGCCCATCTCAAGCAAGACCCCAATGCCAAGGTGGCCTGCGGTAAGAAACACCTGGACCCTTCCTGCTGGAGACCTAAGTGGGCTAGACTGACAACTTAATCATGGGTATAAGACAAAAGAGCTTTACTCCTTAGTTACAAAATCCATGTCCTCTGCTCTGCAGTAGGTTTCTCGATTATGAGACCTCCCCTGGGTAGTAACATGGAGGAAAAATATTTAGAAACAAACAGATCAAACAAATAGATAATTATTTTCAGCAAGAAGCTGACATTAAATGTCTTGCCTAGCGAGCCCAGTGCATCCCCATAAATAGCAGAGGATTGGATCAGCATGTGGCCTTTCTGATGCTTGATCTCATTGGAAACAAGGAGGTCTTTCAAAGTTTTTAGGTGAATCTTCCAGATGAGATGAAAGAGCTTGAAATATGGAGCTGTCTAGATGGTTAAAAGCTGTACCCTTGTTGCAGGAGCCTGCGTTGGCTGCACAGACATCTGGCTCCTTCCCTTGTTTTCTTCCCTAGTTTGTGGTATGATTCAGGTTTTAACATAATTAGTGTCCCCCATTTAATAGCAACTGGAAGGCAGCATCTTCATCAATTTGTTTTTCAATAAACCAATGGCTTTCCTAAGAGACATTAATGTTAAACTAAAGTACTGAAGCCCTGGTTCCCATCTGCACAGTTTACTGTGTCTGAAGACTCATGTAGGCTGAAGATATTCACCTTTATTTGTGGGAAAAGTTGTTTGGCAGGAAAACCTTTGCCTGGATTGAAGCCCTAGGCACAGTGGCAGAGTCAGGGACTTGAGCCTGGAAAGCTCCCAAGGTGATCAGGTCCAGCCTGTTCATTTTAGGGATGGGATCATGGTACCCTCTGCATCAGGGCCTGGCCAAAGCTATGGGGTAGAGGTGCTCCAGGATCAGAGCCCTGCTCTCCTTATTGTCATTGTCATGTCCTGTCCACTGCATGGACCCATCCTGCCCTCTCTGGTTGCATCCTTGCCCCTGTGTTGAATACTATGGGGACTCATGCCGCTCTGAGGGTAGACTCTACCCTTACGTCTTTGTAAATATCTGGAGAGAAAGTTGGCCTGCTTTGATTTTTGGTCCAGATCCCACTCCCTAAAGCCTACAGTGGAGATTTAGCAATGTGGGGGATGGTGGGGGTCACATATGTGGACTGCATTCTTTATGATAACTGCATACAACCATTGTCTCCCTTTAATTCACACACAGCAGTCTTATCAATAGCTTTATTAAAGAGCTGCAGAGACTTAGAGGGGTGAAATAAGTTGTCTTGGATCATGACTTACGACTGACTCTTTCCAAGACAGCACTGGAAGATGCTCAGTGCTTGGTGCTGGGTGTTTTTTTCTTTCTATTGGCATTTCTATTTTCCTTCTGAAATCTATTCCTTGTAAGGCCCCTTGTGTGTCTTTTTTGTCTGCACTGAGAGGTCTGGGAATGTGAGCGTCCCTTTGCTGGCGCTTGGCTGCTAACTCTCCCCACTCCCTTTCAGAGACGGTGTGCAAGACTGGCATGGTGCTGCTGTGTGGCGAGATCACCTCAGTGGCCATGGTGGACTACCAGCGGGTGGTGAGGGACACCATCAAGCACATCGGCTATGATGACTCGGCCAAGGGTGAGAATGGCCCTCTGGGTTCGAAATCCCTGTTGCTCTCTGCTGATAGAGACCCCCAAAGCTGAGTCACACCCATAACTTTCAACCTGATGGGAGTGCCAATACTACCAGGAGGAACACACTCCTACACTCATCTGTCAGGTTCCAGGGGTCAAAGCCTCTGGCAGAAGGATGGACAACAGGAAACTGTGCCTAGCAAGCCCAGCACATGCCCATCTGTTGTTGACTGGGCTTGTTTCAGGCCCTACCTTATTGGTGCTGGCAAAGTCTTTGGAAGAGAAAGACACACTGAATAAAGGGAGCTCTGGGGACATGCTCCCTGCCAGACATGGATGATAGTCTCTTGTTTTGTCTTAATCATTTATGTACTTCTTATGCAGACGAGGAAGTGGAGGCCTGGAGGGGTAAACAGTCTGTGTGATCTCACTCCTTTGCTTCCACTAGACATACTTCCAATCACAGTCATGGAGCAAGATGCCTCGGTCCAGAACTGGTGCTGACAGCAGGCGAGGCTGGTCCAGGTTAGCACCAGTGCCACACAGTGTTTAAGGCCACCAACCAGGGAAGGGGCACAGGCCTTAGCAGAGCCTTGAAGCAGATTCCAACGTCTGAGACTGAACAGGCGAGGCAGCGGTATAGCCTGGAGGGCAGCAAAGGACCCAGGGAGCAAGCTCCAGGTGCCGAGGGGCTGTTGTGCGGTCACATTCTGCAGGAGCCTCAGGGGCCCTTCATCCACACTGGCTTCCTGGGCAGGGCTCTGGCTCCAGTTCTTAGAGCCTCCACATTGGTCTCTGGCATTAGATGTTCAGGCAATTCCAATTTTTTAAAAAAAATTTGTTTTGAGTCTCTGTTGGCTCTCTCCCTAATTCTCTGAAATCACCATAAGCGATTTGGTGAGCTCACGTCATGGCAAAAAGACCCACCTACCTCCAGGCCAACCTGCCTCGATATACACCTGTAATCAACATGCACAGAGAGAAGCATGACTTTAAAGGTGTTCATTTCTGCCTGTGTCACATAGTGGTTGCTTACCTTATTCAAGCCATCCTGTGGGTCAGGGTATGCAGAGATGCTGGCACCCCACCTTTGTAAATAAGAGAGCCCACTCATGGTGTGATGGTGCAGACTCACAGAGGCTCAGTCCAGTCACAGCCTGGCGCAGCCCAGCGCAAGCATGAGCAATTAATGTTGGTTGAGTGCCTGACAGTGATTTTGAGACTCATTGGAAAGTGAAGCAGTAAGAGCCAGTTAATGCTTCTGGTCGGGACCTGAAGGTGTTTACAGAGGAAACTCATTGTCCCAGAGCAGCAGCTTCCTGAGGCGTTGGGAGCCTGTTCTACCAAAAAAAGCCCGTTTGTTTATGTACATTTAGACCTTATTCAAGTGCAAATCTTGTTCTGCATTAGACAGCAGGGAAATTTTACAGGAGGCAATGTTCCCTAGAAAGGGAGAAATGAGCAAGAGCCCAGCCATGGCTGAGTTGGGCTCAGCTGGCTAAGGTTCCCTGTGCCCTAGCTTGTCCATTAGCCTGTGTTCAGTGGGTGGTTGGGTGCACGAAAAGCTTTAGCGGGGCCTCAGGCCAGTGGCTCCTCACTGCTCCTAGCTGCCACATTGCTGGGGTCCTTGTCCTTTCCAAGCCCTGTACCTCTCCTCTTGGTTCCCTGAGTTCTGTTTTTTTAAGTTCCTTGGAGCTCTTGCTTCATTTTTGAGTACTGGGAAGATTCATTGTTTAGACAGACAGTGATTAGGTAAACTGTGAAATGTTCACTGTAGAACAGGACAGCCTTTGGCAGTTTACTCTAAAGATTGTTCATTGACTGGTGCATTCAAAACCATTCATTAGGAAACAGGAGGGTGTAAAGGGCAAAGATGACCTGATACGTATTATGCCCAGGGTGGAGAGAGCACCCGGCCTCAAATGATGCAACATGAGGTGCCCAGCAGTGAGTCCCCGGCATCGTGTGTAATGAACTGCAGGCAGGTCCAGGGACATGCACTGAGAGTGGACGTAGTGGGCACGTGGGGTGGGAATGGGAGGAAGAACATTCTAGGCAGGGATGTAGCGGAGATGGAAAAGTATATCATGCTTACGGCTAAACCTGAGTTCATGTTGGCTCAAGGAGTCCTGGGAGCCAGGGGTGCGTCAGACTAAAGAGCTTCGGTTTTATTCCTTGGCAGTAGATCCCCCTGAAGCTTGTACAGAAATCACAGCTTGGATCTATGTGTTTTCTCTGTAAGCCCTTTCAGGCTGTGTGGATAAAATAGATGGGAAAGAGGATGGCTGTGGGGGTTCAGGAAGAGGACAGTGAGTGTGTCACTCTGCTTGACCTTGTGGTGGGGGAGTCCATGTATTCAACCCCTTTTCTCACAGTCCCTGTGGCTGGAGGAGGTGCACACGGTCTCAGTGCACAGCAGTTTCCTTGTGGGGCTCCTGGGGCTGGGCTGCGGCTAGTCCAGACTTCCCTGAACCAGTGCCCAGCATGCTAGGGTAGCAGCCCTGCACCCCATGCCTCAGCTTTGCAGACAGGAAAGGGCAGGTAGCATTTCCATTTGCCCCAGACTCTGTGTACCTCTGGGGGTCAAAGGACCCTGGCTCTGGGAGTCTGTCAGAACAGTTCCTGTACCCTGTATTTGTTCATTATGTTTAATAGTTGGGTCAGGCACACAGCTGGGCTTCTGAGTGATAGTGTCAAAAGGGCTCTTGATTTTCTCCTAGTGCAGTGATGCTCAAACTGGGTTCTTGGATGCACCTGTGGGAGAGCCTAAGGGGCAGGGTATGAGTCGGCCACTGTCCTCAGCCAGAGGAGCCTTGAGATCACCTCGGATCTGCAGGCCTCTGTAGAATGTGTGTGTGTTAACCAAGGTGTAATTGAGCACAGCAAAATGTGCCATGGAGAATATTGGTTGGCCAAAGAGTTCCACATGATAGGATGGGAAGGTGCAGGGCCTCCCCCATCCTGGGCCTTAGCTGTGGGCCTAGATGGACCCTGGCTAGTTAGGGACCCCCCACTCCAACACCAAATGGCATGTCAGGAACCCAGCCATCTGTCAGGAAGCCCCTGGCCCCCTCCGTTGGACCTGAGCCCCTCTTAGGCTCACTTTCCTCCACCTAGGCTTCGACTTCAAGACCTGCAACGTGCTGGTGGCTTTGGAGCAGCAGTCCCCGGATATCGCCCAGTGCGTCCATCTGGACAGAAATGAGGAGGATGTTGGGGCAGGTGATCAGGTAGCTCGGTGCATGTGGGAGCTGTGTGTTGAGCTGGCTGGGGAAGTTCATGAGCAGTGGGTTACTCACACTGAGGGGTGGACTTTCATTCCAGTGCGAGAGCCAGGAGTGAGTTGGGCACCCCAGCTTCACAGCCATGCTGTGGATGGTGTAGTCGCTGATGCCGGGTTTGGGCTTGTCTCCCACTCCTAGAGCTTTGGGGGTCATGGACGATGTCCTTCCCCTGCACGTGCCAGTGGAAAGCTGCACGGAGGAGGCACCCAGTCAACGTGGACACATCAGGGAGATTCTGGGCTTGGAGAGAGCCGCGGTCCTCTCGGTCGGTCTAGGATGAGCGCCGCTCAGCTTGCTCTCTCGCCACAGGGTTTGATGTTCGGCTATGCCACCGATGAGACAGAGGAGTGCATGCCTCTCACCATCATCCTCGCCCACAAGCTCAACGCTCGGATGGCTGACCTGAGGCGCTCCAGTGTCCTTCCCTGGCTGCGGCCCGACTCTAAGACTCAGGTGAGTGACTGAATCACCCTGGGAGAGCCCTAGACAGAAGCTTTAACATCCCCAAATCCTCTTCATTCTGTCATTTTTAAGATCAAAATATTCAATCTGGGCACTCAAAGAATGGTCAGTTTTGAAAAGAACTATTTATTTGAAATATCTTTAGCTAGAGATGCCTTCCACCACATTTTATTTAAAAAAATTTCAAACATACAGAAAAATGGACAGAATAGTTCTGTTTTTGTTTGTTTGCTTGTTAGCAAATGTTGACTGATGAGTCCCCAGATCCTGCCACAAACATACTTCTTAACTGTCTTCCATAATTCTAGGCCTCTTTGTCCTGAACAGGCTACCTGTTGTCTGTCTCCTGTTTCTGTGCTGTGTCTGTGCTGTCTGTCTGTCTGTCCTGTGCTGTCTGCCTGTCTGTCCTGTGCTGTCTGTGCTGTCTGTCTGTGCTGTGTCTGTGCTGTCTGTCTGCTGTCTGACTATGCTGTGTCTGTGCTTTGTCTCTGCTATCTGTCTGTGCTGTCTGTGCTGTGTCTGTGTTGTCTCTCTGTTGGCTGTCCTGTGCTGTCTCTCTGTGCTGTCTGTCTGTGCTGTGTCTGTGCTGTCTGTCTGTCCTGTGCTGTCTCTCTGTGCTGTCTGTCTGTGCTGTGTCTGTGCTGTGTCTCTGCTGTCTGACTGTGCTGTGTCTCTGCTGTGTGTCTCTGCTGTGTGTCTGTGCTGTGTATGTGCTGTCTGTCTGTGCTGTCTCTGCTGTCTGTCTGTGCTGTCTCTGCTGTCTGACTGTGCTGTGTCTCTGCTGTCTGTCTGTGCTGTGTCTGTGCTGTCTGTGCTGTATCTGTGCTGTGTCTCTGCTGTCTGACTGTACTGTGTCTGTGCTGAGTCTGTGCTGTGTCTGTGCTGTGTTTCTGCTGTGTCTGTGCTGTGTCTCTGCTGTGTCTGTGCTGTGTCTATGCTGTCTGACTGTACTGTGTCTGTGCTGTGTGCTGTCTGTGTGTGCTGTGTCTCTGCTGTCTGACTGTGCTGTGTCTATGCTGTGTCTCTACTGTTTGTCTGTGCTGTGTCTGTGCTGTCTGTCTGTGCTTTATCTGTGCTGTGTCTCTGCTATCTGCCTGTGCTGTGTCTGTGTTGTGTCTCTGCTGTCTGAATGTGCTGTGTCTGTGCTGTGTCTCTGCTGTCTGTCTGTGCTGTGTCTCTGCTGTCTATCTGTGCTGTGTTTCTGCTGTGTCTGTGCTGTGTCTGTGCTGTGTCTCTGCTGTGTCTGTGCTGTGTTTCTGCTGTGTCTGTGCTGTGTCTCTGCTGTTTCTGTGCTGTGTCTCTGCTGTATCTGTGCTGTGTCTCTGCTGTGTCTGTGCTGTGCCTCTGCTGTGTCTGTGCTGTGTCTGTGCTGTGTCTCTGCTGTCTGTCTGTGCTGTGTCTGTGCTGTGTCTCTGCTGTTGTCTGTGCTGTCTGTGCTGTGTCTCCGCTATGTCTGTGCTGTCTGTGCTGTGTTTCTGCTGTGTCTGTGCTGTGTCTCTGCTGTGTCTGTGCTGTGCCTCTGCTGTGTCTGTGCTGTGTCTGTGCTGTGTCTCTGCTGTCTGTCTGTGCTGTGTCTGTGCTGTGTCTCTGCTGTTGTCTGTGCTGTCTGTGCTGTGTCTCCGCTATGTCTGTGCTGTCTGTGCTGTGTTTCTGCTGTGTCTGTGCTGTGTCTCTGCTGTGTGTCTGTGCTGTGTCTCTGCTGTGTGTCTGTGCTGTGTCTCTGCTGTGTCTGTGCTGTGTCTCTGCTGTGTCTGTGCTGTGTCTCTGCTGTGTCTGTGCTGTGTCTCTGCTGTGTCTGTGCTGTGTCTCTGCTGTGTCTCTGCTGTCTGTCTGTGCTGTGTCTGTGCTGTGTCTCTGCTGTTGTCTGTGCTGTCTGTGCTGTGTCTCTGCTGTGTCTGTGCTGTCTGTCTGTGCTGTCTGTCTCACCGTGGCCCTTTTTTATATCTTTGTTTCTTATGAAAAGGCTTTACCTCTGTTGTTTCCAGTTCCAACTCATGGGCCCTGACTTCTCTTCTCCCTGAGTGTTGAAATCAACCAGAGGCCTGTATTTGAAGGCCAGGGTGATGCAAGCATTAGTGGAGACACAGGTCTTCTGGCGCCTCACTCCTGTATCCGCTCCCTGCTTAACCCCAGTGACCCCTCTCATGATTCTCAAGTTCCCGCCACTTGGTCCTGCACAACCTCTCTCCCTGTGTCGATGCTCATGGACCCCATTGGCACCTTCACATACTCAGCTCCCACATCTCTCACCTGTGGGTTTCTCTGGATCACTAGCCCCATTTCTCCTTCACTCTCCAAGCAGATGGGCCTTGAGAGCGTGCTGTGTGCAGCACCCTGCCACCTCCTGCCTGCCCTCCCCAGTCCTGCTCAGCGCCATCTCTTTTCACCGATGTCCCCAGTTTGCCCCATCAAGCATCCCTCTTGCTCCAGTCCAGCCTTCCCCAGGGCTGCCATCATCTCGGCCAGGCCGGGATCAGCACCCCACCTTCCCACAGGTTCTGCCTGCCTGGAAACTCCAGTTAATTCCCTTTAGGCTTCACTTTTCATTTCCTAGTATCTCTTCAGTATTTCTCAACTTTTGGCTCCCTACAAGGGGAAGGGGGAAATCCACTTGTTATTGTGGCATTCTGAACCTTTTGTGGTCTTCCAACTTTACCTGCCTCTGCCCGCTCCACCCATCTTGGCGTGATCAACATCATTTCACTCACGGTCCCCTTGTTTTTAGTGCTTTGCTTTACCTGAGCTCTCTCTCTGGTCCTCACCTGTCCTTGAGCGGCCAGTGAAGTTCTGCCTCTTCTAGGATGCCATCTCTGGCCACCAGCAGACAGCACCTTCTCTTGCCCGGCACATGGAATCTGGCACCCATGGCGCTATAGCTCAGTGTGGTGTGTCTGTCTCCAGGTACAACTCCAGCTGCACAGAGATGGAATTCCTTCTCGTGCAACTGTCAGGCCATGGACAGGGCAGAGGTTGCATACTGGCTGTACTGGGGCAGGGAAGTGTGCTTGTGCCCAAAGAGAACCCTTCCTTGGGATTTCCTGTGTTATCCACATGACCCCCAAGGTGGGGATGGGAACCATCAGCATTCCTTGGGTGTTCTTGGAGGTTGTGGGTTAGGAGAGCTAAGATATGTCATTGTAATGGCACCCAAAGAAAGGGGCCCATGGTGTTGGCATGCCCTGGCCTGTCCTGGACTGGAATGCTGCCGTGATACAGAAGCAAGGTGAAGATTCACAGAAGAGGAAGTCTTAGAACAGGGAGGGGAGGCAGCCAGTGATGTGGACTGTTTTTCTTTTCCTTGTGCAAGAGAGGAATGGAGGGACCTCCTCCTGGGCCTGCTGAAATGGTTTCATTGTGCTTAGATATGAAAAAGAAGGTTTCTAGGTCTAGGAGGCAGCGAGGGAGGGAGGGAGGGTGAGATGGGCCCTTCTAGGGTTTCCCTTCCTTTGAAGAATTATCTCAAAAATGCCAATACGGATACCAGAGTCAGCCTCACTCCCCTGCCACAGGCACAACAGCAAACCAGCTCCAGTTACTGGGGTTGCAGGCTTGCTGTGGGGCTCCAGGAGGCCCCTGGCAGGCCAGCTTCTGAGCAGCCTGGCTTGCTCTCCACACTCCCTGGGCCAGGACAGGCTTGCCTAGGTCCCCTTCTCTCCACCCTGTTTGTGAAGGAGCGTCTTCATCCACCCGAGTGCCGCTGGAAGCAGGATGGGTCTTTCCACCTGAGCAAACCCCTGCTGCTGATGGTGCGGCCTGGGTGGCGGTGCAGATGGCTATTTTTGTACCTGGTCAAGGCTGTATTTTCCATGGTGTGTTTTTCCCCACATCTTGCTGACATGATGAGATAAGTGCTGTGCTCGGGGCCCTTTACTCTGCCACTCTGTTCTGTAGTTTTGCAAGGCTGCTTCGTGGAGTCTGCCAGGTGTGGGTGGAGTCACCCAGGGGAGCAGCGAGCACCCTCCTCGACTGTGCGCCTTCTCCTAAGGCTCCATGCAGCAGACCCAGTCCTAGAGTCTGCCACAGACAGTACCTCTCTTCCCGGGAGTCACCAGGGAGTCCCCAGTCACCCAGGAGAGTATAGAAACACTGAATAGATGTTAGCAGTCTTCCCAGGAGGCCCCAGTCACCCAGGGGAGCAGTGAACACCCTCCTTGGAAGTGTGCCTTCTCCTGAGGCTCCATGCAGCAGACCCAGCCTTAGAGTCTGCCACAGACAGTGCCTCTCTTCCCAGGAGTCCCCTACCTCTGATTCCAGCCCCTCTCCCAGGGCCCTGTGTGTGCACAGCACGGCATGTGAGGGCTGCTCTCAACCTATGACGTCTATGTACATCTGCCTGTCTCTTGCAGATCTCATGTGGCAGGGCTCTTTCTGTTTCTTCTGTGCCTTCCTTGTTGCTCCTTAAACCAGACAGAACACAGAGTAGGAGTTTGATACAGACCCAAGGTTTGATGGATACCTGAATAGCCTTGGGCAGATAGAGAGCTTGCTGCAGGCACAGGCCCAGGGAGCCACTGTTTGCTGCCTTGGGGTTCTGTCCAGGCCCTGGGATGGGAGCAGGCCCGTACCCACTGAACAGTGTCCCTCCCAGGGCCATTTGGCAGAGCTGCACCCCTGCAGGTACCACATGCCCCCCAAATCCTCTGAGCCCTGCTCTTGTGGGTCCACACTGCTTTTGGAAGTATTGGGCCTGGGGCCAGCACAGGGTCTTGAGTGGTATCCAAACTTGTTCTCGGAAGAGCCCTGTCTACCAGCCCATGCAGCTCCAGGTCAGGTCCCAGCTCTTCTGGCTGTGTGATATTGACCAAGGCATTTACATTCTGGAATGTTGGCTTTCTTATCTATATCACTGGCAGGAGGAGAGATACCTCCTGAGACAAAGGGGGGTCAAGAAAGGGCTTTGGCCATGGGGACATTTGCTGGCATGTGGAAGCCTCTGAGACAGTAGAGACATGTAGCAGGTCATAAGTTGAGAGGAAACTCAAGTCTCCAGGCAGTGCTAATTGTGGTCCCATGTGGGAATAGCTGGGCCTTCTACCCAGTCCTCTGACAGCACCAATTTTCTGAATGTAAGAATGTGTCAGATTAACTCCCCCAATGCCCTTTGAAGACACGAAGCTCCTCTTGGCTCCTGGTCCTGGGAGCCTTGCCCTGGTATCTGTGCGTGGCTACGATGTATGTCCGCTCAGCCTCAGCCTCACAGGGTCTTCCCCACCCTTCTGATGGACAGGTGACAGTTCAGTACGTGCAGGACAATGGCGCAGTCATCCCCGTGCGCATCCACACCATCGTCATCTCTGTGCAGCACAACGAAGACATCACGCTGGAGGAGATGCGCAGGGCCCTGAAGGAGCAGGTCATCAAGGCTGTGGTGCCGGCCAAGTACCTGGATGAAGACACCATCTACCACCTGCAGCCCAGTGGGCGGTTTGTCATCGGAGGTCCCCAGGTGCATTCTTGTCTCTGAATGCAGCCTGGTTTGTCTTTGTTACTGACATTGCTTTTATCTTGGTGCAGGAAAATCGCAAGAGCTAGCTTGGAGTGGCTCAGCTAGCTCTGGCCATGGACTAAATGTAAAGTCAGTGAATTTTGGCCTCTGTACATTTAGTATACTCTCTGTGGAGAGGGAGGCTGCTGTGTATCTGGCAATGTGTGAGAAATTGGGGGCATGTACCTAGAATTCCTCCACTTAGTGCCACCAGGCCTTCCCACTCCTGCCGTCTTAAGTGGTCACTGACCTTCACACGGCCGCTGTGCCTTGCCCTGCTCTGGTGCTCATTCCCTGCTGCAGCATTTGCACATGGTCAGCTGTTCCCAGGCGGCTATTGCCAGGTCTTTTCTGAAGGCTGCCTCTGGCTCTTACGGCCACCAGGCTGGGGAAGGGTGTTTTAGATGGGGTACCACTGCCCCTACTGCAGGTGTGAGGAGGTGGAAGTTGCAGAGTACCACTGTGAGGCTGCTGCCCACTGCTCAGGCCCTTAGCTGTGCATGCTTTGCCACAGACCTGAGCCCCCGGGTTCCAGGAGCAAGCGTAGTATAGAAACACAGGGTAGAAGGAGGTAACACTTAATGTTTTTTTCTTGCAGGACTTCTCAAAGCCTAGACATATTGGTGTGAACTGTGGATCTCTAAAAGGGGAGGGGTAGAGTATGCAGACTTCCCCAAATCATTTAGCATAGAACTCCCACCCTTGTAAAGGCATCACTGTTGATGGGTGTTGCCCGGAGCACACCCGGGAAGTGGGCAACGTGGCATTTGCTAGGTGGCACCAGCCAGGCCACAACCCGGGGTTGTATTCATGACAGTGCAATTCCTGCCTGCAGTTGCATCTCTCCATTGTGATGGACTGAGTACCAAAGGCATTAGGGAGTGGCTGGGACCCCAGAGAACCACTGGCCCACCTTCTGCACTTTCTAATGAAGCTTTGGCAGGTTACCTGATATCAGTATGTGGTCAGTGACTGAGCTGGGAGTGGAGTCCAGAGTTTTTGGCCAAGGGGTCTTAGGAAAATGTCTGTGGGCAGCCCCAGGACATCCTTCCCGAGTTGCAGTTCAGCAGCCACATGGTGCTCTATCCCTTCCAGCATCTAGGGGCTGGCTCTGCTTCTCATCTTGATTTCTTTCCCTCTGCAGGGGGATGCAGGCGTCACTGGCCGTAAGATCATTGTGGACACCTATGGTGGCTGGGGGGCTCATGGTGGTGGGGCCTTCTCTGGGAAGGACTACACCAAGGTGGACCGCTCGGCTGCATACGCTGCCCGCTGGGTAGCCAAGTCTCTGGTGAAAGCAGGGCTCTGCCGGAGAGTGCTTGTCCAGGTAGGCCCCCCAACTCCCCCCACCATCCTGTTGCAGCCGAGGACCACTGCCCAGCTCTGCCCTGAGTAAGGGGATGTTGGCCCAGTGGGAAAGCCATATGCTTTGCCAAAGGTTGTGACTGTGTGATTGTGTTGGGCACTGTGGCCAGGGCTCTGAAAACCTGGGGGAGGGAAAACCAAAATCTTCCGGAAAAGGGGCACATAGAGGAGCTGCCCTGGGTGAAGACAGCAGGAAAACTGCCGGGAGCATGTTGGGCAAGAGGCGTGTGGGCCCTCCAGAAGACAGCAGAGCTTCCAAGAGGGGCGGGGCCCACACACAGGCTTCAGTCCCTAACGCTGCGCCTTGCTGGAAGGTTTCCTATGCCATTGGTGTGGCCGAGCCGCTGTCCATTTCCATCTTCACCTACGGAACCTCTCAGAAAACAGAGCGAGAGCTGCTGGATGTGGTGCATAAGAACTTCGACCTCCGGCCAGGTGTCATTGTCAGGTGAAGTGGCACTCACTGCTGTTCCGGGGGACCTTGCTCCTCCGTAGCCCAGATATTCATTCACCTCACCTGAAAGGGAGGCAGAAAGGAGGATGTTTCCACTTCTCAGAAGTAGGAGGGTCTGTGAGCTCTTGGTCTAGCACAGTACATCCCCAGTGCAGAAAGCCTGGTTGTCAGGTTGAAGAAGGCTGCCACAGGTCCCTGCTGGCCCAACCAACACCAGTGGGCCATCTCTGAGCAGCTGGGAGGGAGGTGGGGATCTTAGGAAAATAATTATTAATATAAGGCCAAATGGCTCAAATGGCTGGGAATTGAGTCGGCAAGTCTATTCCATTTTCCGGAGCTTGGTGGTGTCGAGATTGGCCTGGGCATGGTCAGTGGAGTAGGAGGAGAAAGGTACCCAAAGGTTAGAGTTAGGTCTTGGTCCCTGAACCTCCTAGCATCTGTGGGGTATACAATGAGACTGTAGTTGGCACAGATAGGATGTGTGTGCCAAACTGCCTGGGGAGGTGAAGTGCCACGTGAGGAGGGCTGTGTTACAGTTCGTTGCTCACTCCTACCCTTGTTCCATTTTCCAATGCCCTTCCTTTCTGCTGGACATGCAGGGATTTGGACTTGAAGAAGCCCATCTACCAGAAGACGGCATGCTACGGCCATTTCGGAAGAAGCGAGTTCCCATGGGAGGTTCCCAGGAAGCTTGTGTTTTAGAGCCAGAGGAGCTGGGCCTGGTCTCACCCTGGAGGCACCCGGTGGTCACGCTTCTCTTCCCCAGAGCCCTGGCCACTGACCGCCTTCCTCACCCACCACCCATTGGAGCAAAGCCAGGTCCCTCTCATTTCACCTGTCCTGTTATTATCACGGCTGGCTGGAGGCAGGGGCTTCCTGGTGCTGGAGGTTGGACCTTTATGTGAAGATGGGCATGGTTTTCTCCTGCCACTCCCTCTGACTGAGGCAATGTTAATTTAGTGGAAAAGGCACCCCTGTCAAGAGTGAATTTCCTCACTCGCCTCCCCCCACAGCTGGACTCTGACCAGCTCCCCCTCCTTCCCCTTGTCTGTGCCAGATGAGGTCAGCACATCTCACAGGCCTCAGGGCTCCTGTGGGCCTTGGCTGCTGGGCCTCCCTTTCACAGGTAGTCAGCGCCCTGAGCCAGGGTCTCCAGAAAGCCCCTCCCAGGCCAGGCACAGAGCAGGGCTGATGTCTCCTAAGCATCTGTAATGTGCGAGGGACCCAGGCAATGACTGATCTCATTTTTTCTTCACTACAACATGATGAGGCAGTACCTTTTATTATCCCATCTATAGATGGGGGAAACCAAGGCACAGAGAATCTGTATAACTTCCACAGGGTCCCACAGCCATGAGTTGAGGCCTAGATGTGTAACTAGGAGCTTTGACTCAGAAGCCTATAACACACCCCCACCCGACTGTTGTCTCATGCCAGTAACAGGCTTAAACAATGACAAAACAGATTCTGAAATGAGGCCATGGACTCTGTCCTAGAGGCGTGAGGTTACTGGAAATTAGCGGATTAATCCCTACCAGCTCTTGTTGAGCTCTGGGCAATTGTCTGCAAAGTGAAGACAGAGCCACAGGACAATTTTGTTTGCTTCATGTGTCCCAGAAGATGGTACAAGGTGAGCTGAACGCCTGGCCCATCAGGGTGGGCTGGAGATTGGGATTAACCAGCAGCTTTAGAATCCCAGCCTCCTGACCACTGAGAGACATACAGAGATTGGGTTTTTGGACATCTGGGGCAACTGGTCTAAGTCCAGTCAAGTCCTGTCGGGGCTTCCTGGAGCAGAAGGAGTAAATTGTCCTACCCCTTAGACAGAGGCCTTCAAGTCTTCCTCTTTCTCTGGCCCCTTGTATCCTCTGCAGGCTGAGTACATTTGGAGGGAGTGAGTGGGTCCTTCAGATGCCCCATCCAGGGAGGCTGATCCTAAGGCCTCATATTAAATAGGTGGGGCTTGCCTTCTGGTAGTGGACAAGCTACTGAGATGTCATGAGGAGATTCTGCCTTTGCCAGGTGACTCTCTGGGAGCAGGTCTGCTTCCAAGGGGCCTGAGCAGTCCTTGGCCTGCCAGGGTCTTGGAACTCACCTGCCTTTCCATTTGTGGCCAGTAGTACCTGCCCCACCCGCCCCATTTGTCCTTAGCCTGGACCTCTGATAGCAGCATCTCTACCTTCTCCCCAGCTCCCAGGACCACATGCTCAGGCAGGGGCCTCCATGGGCCCCAGGGGAACACTGGGGACTTGGCTTCTTTCTAGGATACATGGTGCTTGTTCGGGCTGGAAGAGGCAGCCCAGGAAGTCTCATCTTGGGAGCAGGCAGCTTGCATCTGGGCTTTGGCCTGGAACACAAAGACCCTGGCTTTCATTTTCTATCAGACAAAAGGAAATTAAGGCAACAAATGAAGCCCAGCTCCTGGTCACCTAGGAAGCCTCAAATTCCTTCCAGTGGAGCAAGGGAGAGGTTTGCAGGTACCTGAATTCCTCAAACTTGGGTCATACTTGATGTGAAAATTCAGAACTTTATACTTTTCCTTCCTTCTAGAGAAATACGAAACTAAAGCCTTTATTTGTTAATAGTTCCTGCTAGAACAGTGAATAAAAAGCTCAAGAAGCAACTACCCTATGCTTATTTTTTTTTCTACACGACACCTGCTCTATGTAGCATGCCCCAGCTCCCCCACCCAACACTGATGGAAGTTGGTATCCTCCCCTCGGATCACCCCATCCTATGTATGTGGCACAGATGTCTCATGGACTAGGTTTTCCTTGTTACTAGCAACTATGTTAAGCCACACCACTGCATGTTCATTCCTCACCACGCCTCACCAAGGTGGATATTCTTAAGAAGCCCATTTTACATGTGGGCTCTGAGGCCCCCAAAGGGTGAGGACCAAGGGCAGTGGCCACCTCTAGATCCTGCCTGAATTCTGTGTGCTCTCCTGACACATTGCTGCCCTTGGGCTGCCTGCGCCGCATTCTGTGCCCTTCCTGTATGGTGACTGCATGAGGCTGGTGCCAGGACACGCTCAGGCCATGTCTGGAGTATGGATAAGCGACTGAACTTGAACAAAATGAGGGAGTGGAGGGGCTTGGTCTACGGAGAGGGGAGCCAGAGCTTTCAGTGGGTGCACATGTCTCGAGGAGAATGAGCAGGTGGCTCTTTTTCATTAGAAGGCCGTCCCTGCCATGGCCCCCAGTGATGTGGTTCTTGGGGTTTGATCAGAGCAGGAGGAAAATGGGTCCTGCATGGTTTCCGGCAAGCAGACTGCGTGGACAGGACTCTGCTCTGGGGAATGTCCTGGTGCAGCCTGGGGCAGAGCCTGTGCGGTCCCTCCGTTTCAAGGGCTGACAAGGCTGATCTGGGGTCCCAGGAAGACCCAGAATGTGGCAGGAAGGGGCGAGAAGGATGGGGCCAAAGGGCCTCACAGTCCTGTTTGAGACAGAACCTATACCCTGAGAAGACACAAGGTGGGCAGTCAATGAAACGTGACACATTACAGAGAAAAGCAGGTTTCTCAAGAATGCATACAAACAGACACACTCATTAAACACCAGAATACTTGCCTGGGGTAAGGGGAGGACTCTGTAGGTATAACACGCAAAATAATTAGTGAAAGCAAGGGAAAAAACCAACTTCTGAGCCGCAAAGACACGTGTCACGGTGTTGGAGAAACGTGGAAGGAGCAAAGGAGATTGGCAAGGAGCAGCCAGTGGGGTCGGAGGAAACTCAGGAGGGCAGGGTCCCTGGAAGTCAGGTGAAGACTGTTTCTAGAGTCAGGGAGCCACCAACTAAGTGAAATGGTTTTGATGGGTTACATGATGGGAAGCCCAGGACTGTCCAGTGAATTCAGCCACATGGAGGTTGATGATGTGGGAAATGGCAGAGTCACATTTAAAAGTAAATATGACCCCATCCCTCACCCCAGTTGTCCTTCCCTGGGACATCTTGTGACATTCAGAGCATGTGCTGCGTTGCACTGCCCTGCGTGCAGTGCCCAGTCCCTGCCCTCATCCAGCACTCTGCTCCCCCACCCCTCTACACTCCGGACCTCCTGCCTCTTGGCTTGCCCCAACAGGCCAAGCTCCTTCCTGCTCAGGGGCTTTGCACCTGTCGTTCTGTCATGGGCATGGGTGTCATTCTGTCATGGGTGTGGGGTGCGCTGCAGGTTATAGATGTAATTTCTGTGTTTCCAAAAACCCCTTCCTGGATAGCCTCTATTTCTACTCCATTCCATTTCTAGTTTCTTGTTCAGTGTTTAACGTGGTGTTCCATGGTGCCCACCCCTTCACTGGAATTCTTCCACACCCATTCACTCTCTCTTCCTTCTCCACATGGGGCTCCTCTGAATCCCCTCAGTCTCAGCTGACAGCCGCCCTTCATAATACTCACAGTCTCCCAGGAGGATGCTCCCAGCACCCTCCATAAATCACACCCAATGCCATCTCCATCTGGTACTGGGCTATCAATGGTTGGAGTTCTTTAAGTGACTACATATTTTCATTATTCATAATGATGTTATGGCAATAATTCTATGGCTCACACTCTGAAGATGATGTATCAACCCAAAGAAGAAAAGATTTTTTCCCCAGCTTCATTAAGGTATGATTGACAAATAAAAATTGTATGTGTTCAAGGCATACAGTGTGACGATTTTACTATATGTATATACTGTGTAATACCACAAGCAAATTTATGAACATATCCATCATCACACACAGTTACCCTCAAAGGCTGGAATTCTTCATGGAAGTCAGTGCTTGCTTATTTATACCTGTTGTCCCCGTAGGACTTGGGGCTTCCGAGGTCATCTGGCCTTGTCTGCTATCTCTTATTTGTCTTCAGTGCAGGGCTTGGCACAGAATAGGTGCTTGGTGCAGCACGGGTTGCCTCAGAGAATGAATTTGAGGTGTGTCCATCTCTCCTGCTTCCTGAGCTCCCCTTAGCAAAGATATTCTGCAAGATACAAGGATCCTAACTGGCCTTTGGTAGGTCTTGCTAGACTCAGGTGCTCAGAGATGTAAATGTTAATCATTCCATAGAGCTGTTTTTTTAAAGCACCTGTTAAAAGCATAGCACTGTGACTAAAAGGATTTATACAATTGATCACTTGGCATTTTAGTTATTTCAACCCTAGAAGTAACCATGGCATGACAAGGAGGGAGACACACCTCATGTCAGAGGTCCCAGAGAAAGGTAACATCTGATGAGGGGCAGACACATAGGAGGTATGAGTTGGAATTCACTTGGGGTGGTTGGCAAAACATTACAGAAAATATTTAGGGAAAGTTATAAGTTATATAGTCTCAAACCTTTGGGAAGGCCGAAAGGTTTTAATAGGGCAGGCGGAAAGTGACTGGCTGGTTCGTTAAGTTCCAGTTTAAGTCTGTTTACCCTACATCCCTTTGTCTCTACTTTGTTTACTCATGTAACTTTGTGCTGGATGGGCCTCTCGGGGAGATCAAAGGGTAATTACCTGTTAATAGGGTTTACTCTGGGCCTGGAAGCTAAAGCTTTTATCATTCGTATAACCACTTTTTTAACCATGTTAATTATCCATGAATGTGTTAACTTAGAACCTCTGTTAGGAATAAATGTGTGGATGGACAGGGAGTCTTGCTTGACCGGTTGCATTTTGCCCTCTGAAAGCAGCCAACAGCCATCCCTAGCCCACCTGAAACACTGTAATGGTGTGAGTGCATTCATTCATCCATCCTTCAATCAGGGTCTGCAGGCCAGACTTCCGCAGGAGGTGAGCGACATCTCAGGTGGTGACCCTGATGTGACCAAGGACACAATGAGTGAGGCTGTGGAGGTGGGAGCTTGGTCTGAAAAGTATAGAAGTTACTTTGGAGTTGGCAGTGGAAGAGTTGGGGATGAGAGGAGAGTCTGGGGAAAAGAATTAGCTCAACAGGGGTTGGTTGGGATGAAAGGCCTGGGGTGGGAACTTTAGAATAACTTTATGCCTGTGGCAAATTCCCTAGAGTAGGTATGATTCAGGCACAGAGTAAGAGGTGGTGTGACAGACACCTGGTCCCTGGGCTATGACGTCTCCTTCCTTCCTACCGTGATGCCTTCCTACCACGAGGAACATTTGGAGAGAGAAGGAACAGGGACTGTGTTCTGAGTTTGGTTCCTGTCGGCTCAGATGCAGAAAAATGTGGGTAGATGGATAACTCAATGGGAAGCAGAAATCAATCCAAGGGAACAGGAGAGTTTACAACCTCAGCAGTTCACTTGGACGGCCCTATAATACGGGAGGTTTGTCACACCCTTTGATGTGACTCTTAAAGGACAGGAGCCAAATAATTTGCTGTCCTTAGTCTTTTTAGGCTGCTGTCACAAAATAACGTAAGTGGGGTGGCCTATAAAGTAATTGGTTTCTCACAATTCTGGTAGCTGGAAGTTTTTTTTGTTTTGTTTTGTTTTTTGAGACGGAGTTTTGCTCTGTTACCTAGGCTGGAGTGCAATGGCGCGATCTCAGCTCACCGCAACCTCCGCCTCCTGGGTTCAGGCAATTCTCCTGCCTCAGCCTCCTGAGTAGCTGGGATTACAGGCACGCGCCACCATGCGCAGCTAATTTTTTGTATTTTTAGTAGAGACGGGGTTTCACCTTGTTGACCAGGATGGTCTCGATCTCTTGACCTCGTGATCCACCTGCCTCGGCCTCCCAAAGTGCTGGGATTACAGGCTTAAGCCACTGCGCCTGGCCGGTAGCTGGAAGTTTGAGTGATGGGCACCAGCATGTTGGTTCTAGAGAGGTCCCACTTCCTGGTGCAAATGGCCCTGAGTTCTCATTGCGTCCTCACACGGCAGAAAGAAGGTGAGAGCTGGGGTCCATTTGATAAGGGCACCAATCCCATTTATGAGGGTTCTGCCTCTGAAAGGCCCCACCACCTAATATCACATTTGAGGTTAGGATTTCAACATCTGAATTTGGGGGACACAAACATTCATGCCATAACACTCGCCAAATCTGATTTCTTCAAAATGAAATTCTTGTGCATTAGGAAACTGCCATGGGTAAAGGTAAAAGGTAAGTGACAGGGTAGAAAATATGTGCAATCTGAATGAAAGGAACCGCAGCTGAATAAGAAAGCAATACAAGCCCCAGTAGGAAATGGAAAAATCTATAAGGATAGGAATAAATAAATATAGTCAAAGAAATGGAGAAAGTCAAGAGAAACAAATGTTGCTCAATTGTGCTTGTTTCAAAAAATAAACACTTTGAAAAATGCAGCGTTGTATTTTGGCAAACAGATGGCTAAAACACAAAGAGAAAAAAGAAACAAAAAGATTTTTAAAATTCAGGGCTGGCAAAGATATAGGAAATAGACATTCCCAAACACAGTTGATGGGTATAAATTGGTACAAACTTTCTTGATGAAAATGTGGTTCTTTCTTCTTGAAATGTAAATGTCATGTTTGCCTAGTTTGACCTGGGCATCAAGATAGAGACAAGCACTTTGCTCCCAGGCCTAGAGGACAGGACCCCAGGAGGGCAAGGTCAGCATGTGCTGAATGGGGGATGGGGTGGGCGGATCTTGGGAAAGCATCCATTCCGGGCCACCAAAGCTAAGTGGGGCTCCCTTCTGTTTCAGGGTTGAGGGGCTGCCTCTA